TTGGAAGCGCACTATCAGATCTCGTGGGGCCATGGCAGGTGCCTTTGTTGGTTTTGGGATCCGAAACATGCGCTTGATTACCACTGCTTTCGCCTGCTTGGGGGATCGTGATTTTTTTTTTAAATGACCAAATAAAGATTAGAAATGTTATACTCCGTGAGTGATGCTACCTCTTTGGATATCTATCTATCTATATATATATATATATATATATGTATATATATATATATATATATATATATATATATATATATATATATATATATATATATATATATATATATAAAAATAATGTAAAGATAGCACTCCAGGGACTTCAAAATAGCATGAAAAAACGTATCTTTTATTCAGGCTTCTGCCAAGGTGAATCAACGTGACGAAAGTTCCAGTAGAGAACTAAAACTTTGATTCACCTTGGCAGAAGCCTGAATAAAAGATATGTTTTTTCACGCTATTTTGAAGTCCCTGGAGTGCTATCTTTACATTATTTTGTTATATCTTTTAGCTGTTAAGCACCAGGCTTTTTACTATTAATCCAGGAGTTCAAGCAATTGGAACTATATATATATAATAATTATTATTAATTGTATTATTTATAAAATGAATAATATATAAATATATAAATATATATATATATATATATATATATATATATAGATTCCTGCATATGGGAGGCAGTGGGAGGATAGGCAATCTTGTGGGATGAATAGTGGGTGTCAGGCAGGGACTGTAGTGGGGTATAGGGGCTATAGTGGGGGAAAGGGGCTATAGGGGGAAAATAGGCACTACTGGGGGGTAGATAATGGGTATAGTGGGATGACAGGGGCTGTAGTGCAGTGACAAGAGCTATACTGGGGAGACAGGGGCTATAGTGGGATGATCTTGGGCCAGGGACTGGGGAATCTGGCTCCCTGGTGGTCTGGTGAAAGATTGAGCATACCTGCACCTCCAGTGTGTGCAGACAGCTCCTTCCTGTTGACAATCTGGCCGAGCATTGCCACGGTAACCCACGGCTCTGATATAGTACAGGCAAAGGCGAACCTCCCTTTATTCAAGCACCAGCCCTGCAGGTGCCAGTTGGGGAACTTTCCAATGTCGCCTTCAGCCCCACCGGCACTGGCGCCCCTATCCTTCCTGCTACCCCAAAGCCATGGCAAATCTGGCCCTGCTCCCCATTGTGCATTATTTGTCAGGTCCCCACCCCCCACCAAAATAAGATGGTAAAAATAGCTTTAACCCTTTGCACTCCTATGTCGGAATATATCTGACAAAATATTTTACCTCTTGTAGTTCAATGCGCATGTCACTCACTTTCACAGCACCGGGCATGAAGGATTGTCAGTACTCTCCAGGGAAATCAGACATTGGATTGCAAGAGGTAAAATATTTTATCAGATATATTCTGACATATGACCGCAAAGGCTTAAAAAAAGTTTTACTTATATGGTGGAATGAGACTGATGGAAAAATGTTGTGGATAAATGCTGGATGAAAGAGAAATACAAAAAGAAAATGTCTGGTGGCTTACAAGTAGAAAAAAAATGGAATTAAGATAAAACAAACCAGGTCTGGGATGAAGAAGAAACAAGAAATATAGAGGTTACGTCTGTATGGGTCAGATATAAAGATGCATTTCAATATTAGAAATACAACAGAGTTTCTTCTAAATATTTTCTATTTTTTCTATTTGGTACTTTGGCATCTTCATGCAGAGCGTGAAGACCCTAAACTTCAGACAAGATGGAAGGACTGTAATCGAAAGAGGCTTTCTCAGTGACAACCACCAGAAAAGGACTTAGGGACGAATGTAAACAAATGTAAAACCTTTGCTCAAAAAGTGTGTATTTACAGTTCTAAGAATGCAGAGGCTGTCTTTTCCACCAAACAGCCACATTAAGATGAACTTGTGCTAAGAGTGTCCCTGTAAAATCTGCATTTATCTATTTACACCGAATATTAGATGGAAAATATCAGTGACTAGTCTTTATATGTGATGGAATTATGCATGACACCATAACCTGCGAAGATATTGTCTGTAAAAGGGGCCCTGGTCGGAATTTTCACCCAGTTTTGTCCTGCTAGAAGTCGAAGTCACATTATGAGTCAATGCTGACTAATCCCTGCTGGTGGGAAAGATTGAACTATTTATCTGTGTCTCCCATCTGTCAGCTGGTCCTAATTGCAGTGTACCTATACTGACAGATTAAATGGGACAAATGCTTAAAGTATGCTTTAAAAACAATCTTTGTTTTATAGATCTTTAAGGAGGAAATGCTTTATATATCTTTAAGGAGGAAATACTATTAGAAGTTGTAGTATATAACTCTTTTATTTTAAGTATATAACTATTAAGTTATGCAAGATCTTAAAATCTTATTATTGCTTTGTCAGCCTAAGTCAGCATAGATCGCTACGCCAACAGGGAGTCTTTAGTTTGTTATAGCCCAGGTAAGTCAATAAACGCCTTTCAAGTTGATCCAGACTTGCGTGCTTCTTACAAGGGAAACCTGCAGATATGGAATGACTTGAATTCCTGTGCTGTAGGTTTTGCTTAAATGCATTTTAATTAGTGTCTTGTAATGTTACCAGTATCGCTGTGGCACTAGCAGGATTATTCACTGAAGTATGAATTCAAGGTGATTTCAAATGTAAGGCCAGAGAAACTGAATAGAAAGCATAGCCAAATTACAGGATTTTTTCAGTTTTGCTATTTTGACCTCAAATATATATGTTGTGTTCTGCTGCAATTTTGTTACTGAAAATGTGTCTAATTCCTGAATAATAGTTCAACTGGACAAAAGATAAAAATAAAAATCTCTAATTTTAACTGCAAGTTAAGACACTTTGGCCTTGCATTTTGCACGCAGGAAAGTCTGGTGAATGTGACTATAAGAAGGGTCCCAAAATCAGAAAAATTATTTATTGTTATATCCTAGTGTATTGTGTAAGAATAAGAAAAAAAATATAGTTTGAAAAATCACAGAATTGTAAATGAACTCCTTATATTGTGTGTGTTCTGTTAACAGTTATTGATCAATAGCTGGGTTTTGCAATGCTTTAATATCTATGTGTTCAGTACAAAGGTAAACGTCAGCCAGTGATAATGCTTGTTTTTGTTTGTCTAAATGTGGGTGTTAACTCTAGTTGTCTCGGCAACAGGGATACAAACAGATTTTATGATAACATCTTGTTTCCTGAAACTGGTGTAACTGATCTTGCTGTCTACACTTGGCTCATTTAAATCATGTTCTTCTTAATCAATACCTGCTTATGACTGAATGAAAGGGTGAACAAAATTTTGCCTCTTGTTGTAGAGCAGGGGTGCCTGAAAGGTAGATCCCCAGATGTTTTAGAACTACAGCTCCCATCATGCTTTACATGCTTTTAGAAGGAGAAAGCATCAAAGGGAGTTGTAGATCTACATCTGAGAATCTTTCTTTTGGGCACCCGTGTTGTAGAGCAACATATATGATGCATCATAGGTGTTATAGTACAACAACAGCTGTGAGGCTACCTGATTTGCATTCTTCTTCAAAGGGTTAAAACAAGAACAATCTTATTTTATTTATTTTTACAATTTCCCCTCTGGAGTTTATTCACTGAACAGCAATTTCAAGTAAACTGAACTGGAAGAGTTAGGCTAGAATATGCAAGCTGTGACTATAGTGGAGATGGAGAATTTAGTGAACATACCTTAGTGTTCTTTCTTGGCAAACAGTCAACATAAACAGGGGTCGTCAATGTTTGGCCCTCCAGATGTGGTGGACTACATATCCCATAATGCTCTCATCGGCATAATGCTGGAAAAGCATCAGCGGAGATGTAGTCCACAACATCTGGAGTGCTGAAGATTGCCTACCCCTGATATAGATAAGAAATAGGAGCAATAATACAGCACTCTGTAACTCAGTACTTTTCACCATGTTGCCAACCAGTTTTTCTACATAGAAATCTGTTCACTGTGATCACTTCTTCAAGAAAGCATATCAATTAAACAGTTAATCTCCTTCCCTCCCCAGTCCTTGCTTCATATACTGCAACTGTGTCATCCCCCCCAAAACAAAAAAAAATAAGCACTCATTGAAAATGATTCTAACAACCTGCTTTTGTACCCTATCCTTACCTCGTGTGTCACTTTATCCAACTCCCCTCCAGAATGTAAGCTCAGTGAGCAGTGTCCTTAGCCCCATCTGTTAATGTGCGTCCAATTCATCAGGTTACAAATACTTGTCTGTTTGTCCACCCATTGTACAGCGCTGCAGAATATGTTGGTGCTTTAGAAATAATAATGTTTGTGTACATCTAGTGCAGGGGATAGGCAACCTTCAGCACTCCAGATGTTGTGGACTCTATCTCCCATAATGCTGGCAAAGCATCAGGGGAAATGCAGTCCACAATATCTGGAGTGCCAAAGGATGCCTACTACTGACAGCGGTGTGTTATCCTAATGTGTTAGTTTCTATTGCTAGGTGTTGCAGGTATGGAATACTTTTTTGAAAAGTATCAGGGTTATTCACTACAGCGAGACTTCACAGTAAATTTCAAATTCAAAGTTAAACTAACTGAACGGGAAACATTCTCTAAGTCAGCTATGCTTCCAGATCGGTTATTTTTACATTTAATTTGAAATTCACTTTGAATTCTCACATTATTGAATAGCCCTGTAAGTTTTAGACACAAAAGGGTTAATGGAAAACAGCATTGACAATGGGGTGGGATAGGGGTTATTAAGGTAACAATAGCAGTTTTGTGAATTATGAAATGGGTCTTGCCTCTAGATTTAAAAGAATGTTTGGCACTGGATACATTCAGGGATTTGGAACTTTGGGATGTGGAATATGCATGTTATGACCTCTGCCAACACGGCTGAATTTAACAGAATTTTTATTTTAACTTATTAATGCATTAGGAAAGGCTTCTTGTGACTTATTACCATACCTGTTAGAACATTGTATGAATTAACCCAGAAATATACAGACCATAATATAGAAATAAACCCATTATATATGTATATAAAAAATGGTTTATTGCAGGTTTAGTTAGGTTATGTACATAGCCGTAATTCACTCTGACAGTAAAACAAACAGCAGGAGATATTAGCCAACGAGCCTTATAAGGTAATCATTGGCATATTTAGTCCACAAGTCATTAATATTGCAGCAAATAGTCCATAGTCTATTATATTTCCCGGAGTTTAAAGTGTCTTGTGTGAGCTTTATCTGGAGGCCCCTTGTCAGCCATTGTGCTCTGGCATTGAGACAGTTGAAAATCAGACAGACAGATAAAAAAATAAAAAGACGTATTGTAGACAGTTATAAAAAGACAGACGTCAACATAAATGAAAACACTGTCCATGTTAAATGTAGCATTTTTCCAAGTCTTCGGATACCATACTAACTACATAAAAAAGGTTGAACATTAGCTATCGAGTCCTCATATTCTGGTGATTTTAAGAGTCCAGCAGAATCATAATTCTTGACAGCAGATAGTTGCTACAAACAAATTTAAAAAAAACTAAAAAAAAACAGATCTCCATTTCAAAGTGCTGCATCAAACAGTGCTTAGTAATGCAATAAAAATGGAGCAACTGTCCTACACCTTCTTCTTGTTCCTGGAAGTAACTTGTTTTTCCACATTGGAACAGTTTGTTGTGAGTTCTATATAGAGATCCTCTTATCGACTTTGTATTCCGCAGTTGGTGAACTCTGACTACAGCATTCTGTGGTCTTCTTCAGCAATAGCTGCTATCACCTCAGCCTTGAAATCAAAAGCCTGAAGCCAGGAGAGGCCAGTCCCATATTGAACAAGCCCTCTCTGGCTTGAACTCTTCTTAAACAGTTCATGAATGGCTTCTCTCACTCTTCCATTTAAGAAAAGATGCGTGAGGAAGCCATCACTAGCCCTGATGCATCTCTTTATGCCAGTTGAGGCTAGTCAACGACCCTCCAGGCCAAAATGACACTTTAAAGAGAGGGGGAAAAAAATGACATTTTTTTCTCATTTATCAAAGGAGACAAGTAGTAAAAGTTCAGTGGCTCTGCCCACTCCAAAGGCAGAGCCACTTAAACTGCAGAGCCGGCTGAGCGTGGTTGGGATGATGTGTGGAGGAAAGCTAGACTTGACATTCCTGTTGTTTCATCAGAAGGTAGTCTGGACTGGAACTTCTTCATCTGTTCAGGGCTGGCCAGGTTCTTGAGTAGACAATTTTCTTTCTCAAGTTGAGAATTCTTCTCAACCAGTTCCTTAATTTGTTCTTTTAAAACCTCTACCTCTTCCCGAACTGCATACATGAGATGATTTTTTACCAGATCCTGAGGGGAAAAAAAGAAAAAAAAAAAACATCCATAAATCAATGTGATCTCACTGTCCTGGAAAATGAATTAATAAAGATAACATCTGTGAAATGTATATTAACACGTGATTCCAGATTCAAGCTAATTATTTCTGCATTAGCCACATTACAGAATAATGTTCTTATTGTACTAGCACATTGAAAAATATCTTTGTTATATATTTATGGTTGTCCGTGAAGAAATTAAAGTAGTTAAATTTTATGAAATGAATTAGGTAGTCAGGAGTAAGGGACACTTAATATTAACGATACAAGCAATAATATAAAAAGCTAAGAAATAAAATGGTAAATAGACTGGTAATTGAATTTGGTGCAACACCACCAGTTAATGACTTCATTAAAAATGAATGGCTTTAAGTTGTACGTGTGTTTTTAACGATTCTTTAATCTAGCTGATATGGAATGAATAGAATTAAATAATTAATATAATTCTTTGTCAGCTCTGCAGCAATTGCCATTCCATAGGGCAGGATGGGATTCCTTCATCCTTAACCTGGCACTCTGCAAGTTACATTGCAGTCCTCTTCCATCCAATGAGATTCAGAGCCTCAGCAGGGAAATCTTCTTAGCAACAAGCCTGCCATAAGCTATATCCATAGGGAAGAGAGGGATGGGGGGGGAGATTTGCTGCACACGTAGTATGCAAAATACCAGGGTTGTTTGTACACTGGCTGTACGCTTGGACAAAGGCTCCCCTTCCTTTGGAATTATGCAAGCTCAGCTATAGCCAAAATACAGGGCATTTTATTTACCCGATTGCTGTATTTTTATGATGTTATTTTCCTGAATGTACTGTACTAATCGCTGTTTCAATTTAAATGTACATTTTGCTGTGTTTTATGCAAAATGCATACTAATTTCACATACTAAGAAGTCAGATATGTAATGGGCCTGTCAATTATTTCTGTGCAAAAATGCAAAAGATATAGCGGCGATATTTACCATGGCTTGCTCGATTTTGTTGTCAATTGCGACCACGCTGGCTCCTGATGCACTGCAGGAAACAAAAACAGATATTTGTTAAATGCAACGGCAGAGTGTAACGAGCTTATATACACACTTCATCTCAAGTTTCGGTCCGGTTTCTGATTTAATAAGTTTATTTAATTTTGATTGTGGTAACAGTCTATAAAGTAAAACCGCTGACTAACTCTCCTGCATGTGCACTGCCCTGAAGATACAGGGGGGGTTAAACCGTCTCAATAGCACAAGACAAAGCAAGTCACTTGCAATTCACTGACAAACACAGAGGAGGAAACAGACAAGGCTGTTCCAGTCTAAACCAGGATAATCCTGATCTAACCAGAATCCATCCATCGAAGAAATGCAAAGATGCCGTAGGATATTATTTACATTGCACCCCGCAGATAGTATTAATTACAAAATACCAATTATTAAATAGTCTGCAGAAATTCTTTATGCATAACCAGGGGTTAAAACCAATATAAGATTCACTGGCGCCAGATTGCGTATATATAGATTTAATCAATAAATTCAGTTTACCCAATATTTAGACAATTTATAAAACTACAAAGTGACACAGATACAATTTAAATAATAAAACACATACTGTATGCATATGTGCAAGTGTAGCCATCTGAATGTGTTTTTTTCTTAAAAACATGCATTCACTCCCAGATTGGCTATTGAACTGTATATATGTATAAATGTATAGATCATTAAATAAAAATAAACAGAATAAAATTCTACACCTGGATTAGATTACTGAATAGAAATAGTATACAGTAAATAATTGCACCATTATAACTACTCCCCAGCAGTCATTACAGAAATATATCTCAGTAAATTCAATATTAAATGACTCAAATATTTACCTGTTATCCAGTTTAACAGATACCACATCAGCTCCCAAAAGGGAGGAGAAAAACGATATGGAGAAATTATGCAGTTCATAAACAGCCACCTCCATTGGAACTTTGAACATTTCTGTGCTCATTTTTGCAATGTTTTTTGTTTTGCTTTTTGTAAAATTTGCCCCCAAATAAAATATCCTGCAGGTGGATAAATCCTTTACAGTGGATGCTGAGGTGTTTGTACGAGAAGCTTGCACTGAGCCTAAGCTTATATGACTGCTGATGCAACAAGCAACAGACTGAATGCTATTTCAGAGCTCCACCTTCTTAAATAGCAAATGCTGACATCATATGGTGTCACCCTAGATATGCAAAATTGGTTAACATCGCAAGCTCCCCCTCCCAAAACCACAAAGCTAAAAAACAACTCCTGTCTGCTAGCCCACAGCCAGTGAACAGAACAAACATTCTGCCAAATATTTTTCATTATTGTGTTTTGCTAAAAGAAAACAACACAAAAAATGGTGCAGAAGTAAATGTCAGCCTTCATGGGTATATATAAGAATATATATCTTCTGTAATTGCCATGAACTCCGGTTTTGCTAACAGCAGCCCCTCAAAAATACTGCATCAACCAAAGAGTTGTTTGTAACATTTACAGAGAGGTGAAACGTTGAAGAACTCTAAATTGTAGCACAGTGCAGTCCAAATTGTACAGCGCTACGGAATTTGCTGGCGCTATATATAAATAATAAAATTAGAATAAAGTTAAGGTAAAATAGCTCATATGTGAAAATGTCCATCTTATCAATAGTCACAGCTGGCTTATTTTTTAAATACATTATGCAATTAATATTATAATTCACTACAAAACAGAGTTTAGTAAAGCCCTATTGTTCTATTCATCTGCAAATGTATTCCCTAGTCTGAAAATGGATAGTCGTTGATTTACAGCCAGTGCCCTTTTGCAAGGAAGCATGTATATTTAAATATGTATAGGTTTGCTATGCAAAGGGCCACAGGGGTTCTAATGGCCTTAGACTGCAGGGGTTTATTCACTAAACAGTTAGCTGAGGTGGATTAAAAACTCTGAACATTACATTTGCAAACTTCTTTTTTTTTTTTTAAACAGGTAAATAGGGAAGAGTTTAGGCCTGGATATTTTTGCAAATTCAGTTTTCAATTCAGCGCAGTTCACTGTTTAGTGAGGGGTGTAGGGAGCTAGGGATTGTGGGAATTGTTGTCAGAATGCAGTGACACTACTTACTTGGTATTATCATTAATACTACATTGCACATTACCCCTAGTTGGAGACAGACTGCATAACAAAACTGTTTCATGGAATGCCTTGTGCAATACATTATAGTTAAATGTGATACATTGTCTATATACAAAACCAATATTTGGGTTTAACCATATAAACAGTTAACTTGATGTGCGGTTGTGATTCATGAATTCTCATTGTTTGCTTGTTTTTTGTCAGGAGCATTTAAATTGTATTTTGAAAACATTATTTTATTTACTGTCATTGATCAAGGATAGAGAGAGTATAGGTTCCTCTGGAAATTAAATCTGCTAGAAGGTGATTGATCATTAAGTGCTTAATTTACTAAACAGTCAGTTTAAAAGACGTTTAGTTTTTCTTCCATGGATAGTTTGGTGAATAGTTTGCAAACCACTTGAAAATGTACTAAAACTCACTTTAATAAACTAAACCAAACCATGAATGCACATCATCAGTATTTTAAAACATTCCATACCAAGGGGCTATAATAATAAAAAAATAAAAAATAAATGAAATTGGACATTAATTATAAGGAGACAATTGTCGCTGTATTAAAAATAATATAGCACATATGCAGGAATATTTATGCCATATTAACAAAAATTAACGACAACTCTTTTAACAGGACTACCTGCAGTACAGATACAAGTTGTACCCTTTACTCCCCAATATATAGCATTGCATAACTATCCTATCCCCTCCCCCCATACCCTGTTAGCCTGGCAGTTCACAGCCTTTGCAACCTGCAAGGTTCTTTCAGAAATATACTTGTGTAGGACGCCCCCTAGTGGCCAGACTCAATCACATTCTCACACAAACCAATGAACTGTATCTCATGTTTACACTGTAAGAACATAATGTTCTCCTACAGTATGGTATACCATAGCCAAAACAATATCAGACCCAAAATGATTACAACTTTCTAAACCAACATAAAACATTTTGTTTTTACACTAATCTTGTGCTATTTAAAAAGGTGTGGCCAACTCTAATGACAACTCAATGTGATTTCTCTAAGGCTTGCGCAAACATATTTTTGTTTTCTTAACTTATTAAATAGCTTTATTATTATGATTACAAAATTTCCATTTGAGGAAAAACACTGTTCACTACTAACATTAGAAATAGACAAGCTTAACTCTTGCAAAGTTATTCACTATGTTGTCAATTGTTGGATATTAAAAATGAATTTCACATTTAAGGCCGAGATTGCTGTAATGCAGCTGAGAATTTATACAATTCAGTATTTGTGGCCTAAAATTTTAAATTCATACTTTTTAGTGAATACCCCTTGAAGTGACTGACAATTTTTAGGCCAGAATAGTTGATCTGAAAATGTATCCATATTCAGCTATTTTGAAATTCACTTTAAAGGGACACTATAGTCACCTGAACAACTTTAGCTTAATGAAGCAGTTTTGGTGTATAGAACATGCCCCTGCAGCCTCACTGCTCAATCCTCTGCCATTTAGGACTTAAATCCCTTTGTTTATGAACCCTAGTCACACCTCCCTGCATGTGGCTTGCACAGCCTTCAATAAACACTTCCTGTAAAGAGAGCCCTATTTAGGCTTTCTTTATTACAAGTTCTGTTCAATTAAGATTTTCTTATCCCCTGCTATGTTAATAGCTTGCTAGACCCTGCAAGAGCCTCCTGTATGTGATTAAAGTTCAATTTAGAGATTGAGATACAATTATTTAAGGTAAATTACATATGTTTGAAAGTGAAACCAGTTATTTCTTTCATGCAGGCTCTGTCAATCATAGCCAGGGGAGGTGTGGCTAGGGCTGCATAAACAGAAACAAAGTGATTTAACTCCTAAATGACAGTGAATTGAGCAGTGAAATTGCAGGGGAATGATCTATATACTAAAACTGCTTTATTTAGCTAAAGTCATTTAGGTGACTATAGCATTCCTTTAAATCCACCTTGACTTTTCAACTAATCCTACTTTAGTGAATAATCCTGTTGGGATTTTGGAGGATATTAAAATACTCAGCTATTTACAATCCAGGTAAAGTTGCATTCCAGTTATAATTTGACCTGTTTAAATAATAGTCCCAGTTCAAATACCTTTCCAAGGAACATTTGTTCAAAAGTGTTTAACTTAAAGGAACACTTCAGACACAGAAAGCACTCAAGCTTGCTGAAGTGCTTTATGCGTCTGGAGTTTGTCATGATTGTGACACTTTAAAAAAATCGCCAATTTATAAAAATATTATAAAAATGTAAGTGGTCACAGATACAACCTCTGGCTTTCAATCAGACAACCGGGGAAGATTTCTTCATTTTGTGTTAGCTCCACAAAGCTAACAGAAGCGACAGGATCAATAAACTAGCAAGCGCCTGCCTTCCCACTTCTCAATGACTTAATGTACTAAAGCGTGTTAAGCAGCATATAAGTAAGTAAAATGTAATAAGGAGCTTCTGACTGGTATATATCAAGAGGTGAGGGCTTGCAAAGGCTGTAGACAGCAGGTCTGCATCTTTTGCATACTATTATTTTCATATAATATATAATATTGTTTTCAAGTAGTAAAAAAAAATTGTACAAAAATAAATATAAACAAATGGAGTGTTTTTTTTAATAACATAATACATCCCTACAGTCACGTGAAAAGGGTTCAAAATTGCTGGGGTTTATTTAGTAAAAGGTGAATTGTGAGAAATTAACAATGGAATTGAGGATTTCTGCAAATTCACTTATCAATTCTCTGCAATGCAAGGATTAGAGAATAATCCTTAATGGGATTCGGCCACACTATAAGGAATTGTGGAGTATGAAGGTCAGTTTATGAAGGGGTTTATTCTCTTAATATTAAATCACTAAATGTAAACAAAAATTGCTAGTTTGGAACAATTCTCCAACTCTGCATGACCCAGCTTGGAGATTTCATCCGAAGTTTTGCAATGTTCTGTTTGTAAATTCATAATTAATCTGTGTTTATTGAATAAATCTCTACATAAATGTGCTTGTGCGTGCAATAACACGTAATAATAGCTGTGTCTCAGGTGGAATTGTAAATGTTACTTTTGGTGTTAGTTTGGTAAAGGCATGCTAGAGCATGTGTCCCATTGTACAGCACTACGGAATCTGATGGCGCTATATAAGTAAAATAATAATAATTATAATAATAATAATAATAATAATGTGTGCATAGTGAACCTGCCATGTTGTCATTCCAAATGATGTGCTGTTGCTAATCATATGAATTTAACAAAGCTTTGATAAAATGATTGCTAAACATTGAATTTAATGCCAGAGGATTTTCTTTAGTAAATATTTTGAAATTAAGCAGAATATCGTGTAACCAAAAAGGCAGTACTCATCAAAATAGGCCATAATCTAGCTTTTTTGTATGAGGTCATAAATAGCTATATGACCTCTACTGGTGCATAGTGGTAATGCAACTACTCACAGATATTTTATTTTAATTCCTACTTTAAATTATTTTTCATGTGTACTCACTATAATTTCTCTGCTACCTCTTGTTGCTCAGTTTAACAGCTTTACCTTACTTTGATTTGCATGCTATCTATGTTAAGCAGCCAATATACTATTTCCCAAGCAGATATCAATATACAGTATAAATGTCACCTTCAATAGAATAGTACTATCCCTACTTTAGCAATTCCCTAAGCTGAGAATTGTAATTTAGAAATCTTTTACCAATAAAGCTGAGTTGGAGACAAAATTTTGAAATTGTTTTGAAATTGGCTATTTTGGACTAACATTTGTGACTTTTGTCTATTCTCCAGAATTTTCAACATTTAGAACTTTCGAATGTTACAATGAGAGGAACTATAGATCATTCTAAAGCTAGTGAACTGCCATAGTAAAACATATCACTTGAGATTAAGTTAAAAAACAACAACATATTCGTGGTAATAAACACAGAAATATAAACAAAGAAAATCATTCTTTGAGATTGCTATTCGCAGATCCAGTACCCCCTAAACCTGTGTAAATGACACAAGAATGAAGAGCACCACTTGGTTCTGCTGCCATCTACAGTCTGCTTAAACCTGACCCAATTTATAGTATTAGAATTTAATTATTTTGTACACATTCTTGCTTACTTAAATATGTACAACACAGTCAGCTAATATGTTAATTATAATTTAACATATTAGTCACTTCTGAAGTTCAGAGACAAACAGAAGAACTACTTACTAACAGATAGATCCAGATTTGGTTGTCCAACTGGTTCTTATCTTATGTTACAATCTGGAAGGTTTCATCGCTAAACAATGCATTGTTGTGAATCAAGAACCGAATGGAAGCACAGCTGAGGCTGTAGCTAAGTTGGAATTGTTTTCAAATCAGCACAACATTTTGCGATTCAGACTTCAGTTTGTTGGACTGCACACTTTAATATACTAAACATAATAGTAGAGAGGTGACAGACTATGAGATGATGGAAACAGATTAGAATGCTACAAAAATCTCCAACTACCAAGATCTGAAATGTAATTAGGAAAAAAGCCTGGTCAGCAATCGGGATTACTGGACGTTAGGAGCCATCCGCAGCAACTGGATTACTACTACAAGAAAACCGATATGGAGAATATGCAATAACAGATTGTATCAATACACACTCACTAGATTATAGTAATGCAAGAGAGTAGAATAGACAAAGTAGGAATTGGTATATCGAGACTGAATGTTATAGATCGGGATACTAGGGCAGTATGGACAAGGAAAGAAAGTAGTCTGATTCAGTGAGGGATACTGCAAATTCTGAGGGCCACGAGTGCCATATCCACCCTGATTGCAGTGCGTAGATACACAAATTTATGGTCTGCGTGGGGAAAGTGCTGTCTTGCAGTATGTAGAAGTCAAATGCTGCAGGTAGTAAATCAGGTGATAAGTTAATCAGGAATCCTGCAGCATGTACATTCTACATACATATAGCATGAACATGTGCAGCCACTTAAATAATGAAATGATAAAGGAACTCTAAGACCCCAGTGACAATGAAGAATGTCAGAAATGTTTGGTGGGAACATGGTACCGATATCCACCTATCTACCTGTTTAGTACTGACAAGATAGATAGATAGGTGGGTATCGGTTAAACGAGACAGGTGGGAATGTAGTGAGAAGCTAAAAAGCTAGTTGCAGGAGACAGTCTGACAGAAACATTATTATATTGATCGGATAAGTACTTAAAATAATAGTCTGGTTAGAGATTAAAATTCCACTGACAAGTGACTGCATTCAGAAAGTGCTCTAATTACATGTCAGTGCGTGACCTTATTTAAAAACACTCATGCTTATTATGTAATAGTTTGGCATACATTTCTATACACACCTGTCTGCGGCATATGTGATGTATATTAAAGCAGAATAAGAGAGCAGCCTAGTAACAAAATAATTACTGATTAATTTCATCCAGTTAATCAGTCTTCAAAAAATATTTGAAAGAATTTACATAGTTACATAGTTATAGGCTGAAAAGAGACATTTGTCCATCGAGTTCTGCCTTTCTCATACCTATTTTTTGCCATATATCCAAAAAAAGGCAAAAAAAAACAAAAATTGTTTGAAGCACTTTTTAATTTTACAACAAAATAGGGGAAAAAATCCTGTTGGCCCCTGAATGGCAGTCAGATCTCTCATTGGATCAAGAAGCTATTAGCCCACAAATTAAAAAAATTATATCCCTGTATATTGTGTTTTTGCAAGTATTTACCCAATTGCTGTTTAAACATCTGTATAGACTCTGATAAAACCACCTCTTCAGGCAGAGAATTATTTTCCTTTGCCTTAGACTATCATTATTCAATGTATATTTATTTTGTATGGGCGATGACATACTGTTTGTAGCCTGAGAATCAGGGGGTTGGAGTTCACAGCAGCTGGACTGCCAAGCATCCCTGTCTGTGTTTACAACCAAATACAATGAAACATTTTGATTTGATAGATTAAAAGGAAAATTCAACAAAGCAAACAACTTAGAATGTTTCCATTGTTTGGATCGTATTTATTATATGTTTAATTATGCATACTAGTTTTTCGTTTGCTTCATCGCATTAGTAAAGCAGTCTATTGGTATTTCTTTACTTGTTAATGCTATTCTTCTGGCCATCACCTTCAATGTCCCCCTGCTACCTCTTGTGTCAACTCCCCATTTTAGCCTTTAGATTGTAAGCTCATGGGATATCTCGCTTTTATAGCTAGATCTTAGCTCATTGGAAGGGCCCACTTTACCGTATGTATAGGTTTCTGTATTTTATACTACCTTTGTGCCCATTTGTACAGTGCTGCAGAATTTGTTATTAAAAAAATAAATACCAATCTGTAATGAATTGAAAACAAAAGTGCAAAACACAGACAACAAAGGTAATGATTTAGAATTTTAAAAAAATAACTTCCAACTCATCTATAGTCACGTTACAGTTTTGATTTTTTTTTTTGCCTAAATTTAGCAGTTTTGTTTTCAATGATCTGCTCTGTGTTTTTACAATTCTACTTATTGTACTAATATTTTTACAAATGTTTATTCATATGTATCAATAATACAACATTTCAATGGAATTTATCAGAAACTAGCCTTTTGTCAACTTATATAAACACACTCAGAACCATGGGCGCTTCAGCCAACTGTAGTGGTTATGGTACCAATAGTGCCCTGTCAGTTTGACAACTAATGTGGGTCTGCTGGGTGCCCGGGCCCCATCTGGTTTCTCCTACAGGAGAACCTAGTTGTCTCTCTTAAATTAAGCACAGCCCAATACAGGGACAAAATCAGGTAATACTCTTAGCCAATTAGAGGGGCCCAGCATAACCCTATTGGGTATTCAAAAAAATGACAGAATACTTTTAAGCCCAGAGTTTAGAAATACAGAATGGAAGGGGCATTTAAGGAAGGAAGGAAGGAAGACAAAGGACTCCGAACAGAGGGTGGGTAACAAAACCACATAGTACTGTCTAAGCCATGGAAAGAAGACAACAAGGAAGAATGTGGGTATTATAGAAAGGCTGACTATTCTATTATCTGTTCTATCTCAGACAATATTTATAGCACTTCTTCAAATGTAAGGCACAAATTGTTAAAGGTTCTGTTTATACATTAAACATTAAAACAGGGATTTTCTCTCACAAGTTTATGAATAATTTATTTGTTTCTCTTTTGGAAGCAAGTGGGGGATTTTTAAAGGGGTGGCATGAGTGCTTGAACCTCTTGTCTTTAACCCAAACGTCCATAAATATGAGCTCGCGTGAATCTTGCATTCATATGCTCCCTTTACAGGATCCCCTGTCATTTGTGATTTCTTAAATGCTCGTTAAATAATCGACAATCATGACTCGTGAAATCACATGAAGGATTAATTAGCCATACAGCAAGAGAATAAAAATAACATGCTCTCTTTAGTAAAGAAATTGTGAGACAGGCAGATGCTTGAAACTAAATATTGCCTTAATATATTTATATAGATGGCAGTTGCTGAATGCATTTTCTATGGTTTGTTTGCTTTTTTAACAAGTCTGTGTCTTAATGCCAGAGTGTCAAAATTTATCCAGAATAGTCCAAATCCTTCCATGATTTGAGCATTTTTTTCTAAATGCTGAAACTAACTGACCTAGTATACTCCTAAAATAGCTGTGCATTATCTTTAAGGACCACTCTAGGCACCCAGACCACTTCAGCTTAATGAAGTGGTCTGGGTGCCTGGTCCAGCTAGGTTTATGAATGGGTGAAGCCTTCCCCTATTTCCTCTAGCGGCTGTCTCATTGACAGCCGCTAGAGGCGCTTGCGTGCTTCTCACTGTGATTTTCACAGTGAGAGCACGCCAGCATCCATAGGAAAGCATTATGAATGCTTTCCTATGTGACCGGCTGAATGCGCGTGCAGCTCTTGCCGTGCGTGCGCATTCAGCCGACGGGGAGGAGAAAAGGAGGATCGGAGGAGGAGAGCTCTCCGCCCAGTGCTGGAAAAAGGTAAGTTTTAACCCCTTTCCCCTTTCCAGAGCCGGGCGGGAGGGGGACCCTGAGGATGGGGGCACCCTCAGGGCACTATAGTGCCAGGAAAACGAGTATGTTTTCCTGGCACTATAGTGGTCCTTTAACTACCGAAATCCTGTGTGCCAGATTGCTAACAGTGCAGTGTGTCTCAGCATGTGGGTACGGACAGATTTACATATGCCCATAAGGGGTCAAATTAATTAGGAATTTAAAATATATAGTTTCTTGAGTTTTTTGAGCTCTGTTTTATGTTTCTAATTAAAAAAAAGAAGAAAAAAAAGGAAAGGACTACACTTTTAGTAAACAGAGTTTCATTCATAGAAACACACACTTGTCAATGCATGCACATCTCTTTTATAAATACTTAATGACATGCTTTTGCTTAAACAAGCATAAGCCAGATTTATTGTTTTCTGCAAATTGGTGCAAAGTACTAAAAGTGGGGCAATTACAAAGGAGACCACTATAACCAGCAGGCCCATTCTGTTGGTGAATCTTACCAATTTAAACTTTTCATAAGACGACACTTTGATAACTATCTTATTATATTTCTTATACATGTTGTGAGATATTTTAACCACAAAATGTCTGACAATGTATACATAAACACACTTAATTTAACCAGAATACACAATGGCACACATACACGTTCTTTTACATGCAGGCACACACATCAATAACATCTCACTCCCAAATCTAATGTCCCATTTCAGTTCACCCGTCAATGAGCACTGGCTGAAGTCTTGAGATAGCTGGCTAACGTACTTATAAGCACTGATTTCTGACACCTGAGGTCAGCAAAAAAGCTAATTGGACCACAGTGATCTTGTGCGAGAATAGTGTAAGATTGACTGCATTGCTATGGGCCTGGAAGCAAATGTATGAACAGTACAGGAAGCTGCTGAATGTGGTTCCATCTCAAATTGCATCCTATGCAGTCATATCTCATACAAAGATTGCTAAGGCTGTCTCTCCTCAAGTCACTCAGACCTCTACGATAAGCTATATTTTGCGATAATCAACAATCCACAAGAAAGATGTCTCTGTCTTAAAAATTGTTTAAAACATTGAGATCAGGGATCTAAAACTTTTCACATCAGGGAATCTAAAACTCAGGGATCACCACAGATGGTGATGATCAATAAATCCCAGAGTGCTTTGAATGCAATAGGTGGCCAGATAATAATTGGGAATATTTGTAGTTCAGCAACATCCTGTGGGCAGAGTTTAAAATGCTTGTTTTAGATCATTTAGCTAGTTATATAATATATTTCACTGTATCAGTCTGTAGATCTTTCTGTCTATGCTGTCCATGTTTCACTTCTATATGCACCAGACCAATAGTATTATTTACTAAAGTGACAATTGTCCAGAATTCAAAGTGAAGTCAAACTGAATTTCAAATGTAAAGCTGAACTGGAAGCAAGGCTGACTTGCAGAGTATGAATAATTAGAGGTCACCGGAGTGTTGAGAGTAGAGTATGAAAACATGTTATCAAGACTCCTCTATCCTGTGTGAAGGCTTTATAAATACACTGCTGATATGAACAGCAGGAAGAGGAAGTGACTTTGCTATAGTTGTCCGCATTTCAGGAATTTGCGTCTAACAATTACAATCCATACAAAACCTTCGTAAACACACAGAAACACATACAAACATGCACAAACGCAGAAAAACACACAGAAACACAAAACCTCACACAGAAACACACCCAAATACATGCACATATACACAAACACAGAAAAACATAAACAGACACACAACCTCACACAGAAACGCAAACAAATACACACACACAAACACACACACACACACACACACACACACACAAACATACATTATTACAAATACAGGAAGTGTCTGTCACTTGATTGGTTTTATCAGGTTGCTTTAATGCCATTTGAGATAAATTCATTATATTTTTAGTTATGAAAAAATACTGCTCAGAATTACTGAACTAAGAGTAAACTGGAAAGCAACTTTCAAACTGGCATGGATCAACATAAATTTATTCAAGCTATTTCTCCAGATGTTTTAAAGATCTTGCAATGGTTAATCGTGATAATTTAAGAAGCAAACTTAAAATGTCAGATCATTGAATAACTGGGTTATTCACTAAGATGATAATTCAAAGTAAATTAAAAGTGAAGTTTGGATTTAAGGTCAAACTAGCCAAATTGGAATAATTCTCTCTGCCTGCTATGCTTTCAGTTTGACTACTCTGGCCTTAAATTCGGAATTCACTTTGAATTAATGTAAATAACCCCGTAAATTGGTTCTCTTCCATATGTGTCCGTTGCCAACAGTATTTACTCTCTAAAATTAGAAATTATGTACACATGGCATAAAAACCATGTATGCAGGTGATATCATAATCTATATTAAAACACTAAATTTATCATAACTTGAGACTTTTGTACAGACTGTTCTTGAATGCTGATAACATTGTCTCACAAGTGTTTCTAACAAAGAAGAAAACACTTAAATGAAACAATTCTGAGCTAAACTTCAAAACAAAGTCAAGTGGCAATTGTATCCCAGTTAAGTGACCTTGCATTTGGATTTATATTGATAAATCATAACACTCTCTTTTTAAACCAAAAAACTAAGAAAACAAATTGTGCAACAGATGCTTTTTGTTCATTGGAATATTGTATCTGTTTTTATGATATTTTAAAGGGTTTCATCGGGAACACTCAGATCTAGATATGTCCTTCAACTTTCAAGCCTGGTCCCTGGATCATAACCACTTATTTGGAAACTCCCTCCCTACCTGATCTTTGCTCTCATATCATCTCCCGACACCTCTGTAATCTACTTCTAGTGCTATTCCTTTGTTCTCTAGTCCAATTGCAATTATCTCTATATAGACAATATATTCTACAGCGCTGTACAATAGGAAACAGAAAAACATTTAATTCTAACAAAACACGTGGCTTAAAGAGGCCCTCCAGGAACCAAAACAACTTCTAAAGTAGGTTGTTATGGGCACTCTAACCACAAGGGGTTAACTGTTCTCAAATGGTTTAACCACCTCAATATATATTTCCCATTACATAATTTTATAATTTAATAGATGCTGTACATATTCTATGTGTTGGGTTTAATCAAAGATTGCCCTTTTTATTCTTACTGTTCCAAACTCATCGGTCTCCATAATGAATTGCCACAATGGAACACATACCAAATTTAATGCAGGCAATCAGAAATGGTGTTTAGCGTGGCAGTCAATCTGGCCATGACAAGTTGGCCTATGTTGATATAGCCTGAATGGCTACATTAATTTGTGTTTGACAAATTGTTCTATGATAGAGCACTCTCAGCCACTCACTGAATTCTGTTCAAGAAAAGGGAACAAGGACGTGAAATTTTCCTCTTCTGGTATCACAAGTACAAGGAGTGTGTGATTTTGTCAAATTGTTTGAAAGTGGTTTGACAAAAAGCAGAGAGGCTGCACACAGATAGGGTCATAACACCAAATCCACCACATTGACTTATAGTTTATTAGTAAACTAACAGAAGACTGCAGCCATTTTGGACATGTCAAAGGGACGTAGGTATGCGACATAGGGCATGCCAAATGGTGGTATATATTTGGAATTGCTGAATCACTCTCAGTATGTAACAAAAAAGAGAGAAGATGAAAGAACAATACGTTTTACCTGAGGTTGAAATGTCTGAGTACCAGATTTCACAAAGTCTGCCTACTTCATTGTCAACCTACATGACAACGATGCACCACAGTCACCCTCCTCTTCCTCCTCACCACACTCATTCTCTCCACAAATCTGATATTCATTAAATTGGCAATATAAATATATTTAAAAAAATAAATAAAGGGCTTTCACAGATTCCTGGTGTATCATATAAACTGAATAATGTATGGGATAACCGGTGTATTATATTCTTCTGATGTCTCTCAGCTTCCTTTTAGAGGTGGGAGACACAATGGTGGAGTAAAGTTCAAGGTGTATCATATAAACTGAATAATGTATGGGATAACTGGTGTATTATATTCTTCTGTTGTCTCTCAGCTTCCTTTTAGACGTGGGATACACTATGATGGAGCTAAAGTTTAAGGTTTATTAAAGGGACACCCCAGACCCCTAAAGCACTAGCTTGATGAAGTGCTTTATGTTCCAAGAGTGTGTCCTCTTTTTTCATTTTACAAAAAGTGCAGATTTCAATAGAATTTTTTTTTTTGAATTGGGAAATCTGTGATTGAACAGCTACAGAAAGGCTAAACTATGGAAGAAGGAGACGATTTGCAAAAGCTGCAGACAAGATATCTGCAGCTTTTGCAAGTTGTTTTTAAATAGAAACTCAATGGAAAAATGCATAATTAAATGCATGTATGTTGGGTGTAACTACTAAATTGTAAAATAAATTATAGTGTTTGTTTGAAAATTAGGATAATTTCATGATTTCTTTTTTTTAATCAGACGCAATCATTAAAGTCCCCTCATATTAAACCAGCTGATAAATAATGTATCAATTCACCTATTTGGACGAAGTGTCCTATACCATGTCTTAGTAGAGAAACACGTAAAGATATTTTAAAGCAGTCCTTGGATTTTATTATGTTCTATTTTTGCCCAGACATAGAGTCTGTTACATAATCACAGGAAATAGGAAAGGGTGTTAAAAGTATATTAATCAGCAGAAAGTATAAAACGGTCTATATGTATGTTAACGTTAAACAAAAAAACCCATCAGTTTAGAGGATGTGAACTTTGCTGAATAATTAATGATAAGCATATTCTACGTAAATGCTGGGGGAAAATATGCCCATTTTAGCTTAGACAACTATTTTGGCCTAAATACTGCAAATTGTGTGTCCATTCACCCTGTGAACTGCCATTCTACCCTCCATCCTAAACCTCCTGTTTACGATTCTAGTACAGTTAATAAATATTTAAATGTAATAAATTGAGCAGATAATCGTTAGAGGTTGGATGTGTAAATATTATGTGCTAAACAGGTTTAAGTGGAATTGTGTTAATGCAATGTATTTTATGAGGCAAATGGAACTTTAAAATCAGAATGTAAAATGTTACTTCAACAAGTGAGTGAGGTAACCTCTGTTATTCACTAAACAAAGAATTGAGCAAAACTGAAAAGAGACAGTACATTTTAGGCCACACTAACTGAATTTAAAGAAACACTATATTAATATCTTTGAGGAAAGCTCAGTGTCTCCATGCAGAGCGTGGAGATGCAGATCGTCAGTGCTGCACCTTGTGCAGCATTGACCCAGGAAGTACCTCTAGTAGCCTTCTGAGTGACTGACACTGGAGGTATCCCTAGGGAGCAATGTAAACACTGCCTTTTCTATGATGGTTTAACCACCGAGGATGGGTGGGTAAAGGAAGGGGTATGTGGACAGGGATATGGATGGTGAGAGGAAGGCAGATAGGTGACAGGAGCTGACATGAACAAGGGCAAGAAGGGACATGGTTCCAGCTAGTATACAACAAAAGCAAGAAACTAACAGACAGTTAGAGTTAGTGTTTACATGAAAAAAGCTGCAGTGAATGACTATATTCACCAGAACAACTACATTAAGCTGTAGTTGTTCTGATGACTATAAAGTCCCTTTAAAAAAAAAAAAAAACTCCCACTCTGTTATTTTGTCAATTTGGCTACTTTGACCCATAATTTGCATTTGCCTGGTCAGTTCCTGCCTATTCCCAGTGTAGTGAATAACCCTGTGTGTCTCTATGCAGTTGACAGCTGCTACAGGCCTAAAGTGCAAACAAACGCAGTTTACGAAAGCACTGTAACACTTTCACTGCCAGAGAAAAATGCATTAAACAGCTGGACTTGTTAATGCTATTTTAAGGCACAGTCTGAATGATAAAGGCAAGAAGAATGTTTATTAAAGGACAAGAGCCTGGAAAAAAAATGGTTACAAGACGCAGGGTTCCAAAAGAGAGAACATTCTAAGGACAGAATACTGTGGGAGTGGGGTACGGACAATGTAAGAACTAATCTGAGCAGATAGGAATATAAAATAGCTGATCAAGAAACAGGTAGAGAAAAATGTAAATGTGTGGGGAGATTGGGGGAAAAACGAATGAAAGTAAAGAAAAGATGAAGAAATATGAGAGAGAAAGACAGCTGGCAAGCTCCCATCTCCAGCTGCCGGCCGATCTGCTTCCTTTGATAAAACTCTTGGCAGAACTCCCAGTTCTTAATGTCTGGCATCCCAGTTACGCCCAGACTAGAACAACCTCTGTCCAGAGCCCTCCCTTCTCCTCTTGGGCCTTTGTACAGTGAGAAGACAACACAAATAAACAGGAGGACAAAGTGGCTGAATCATACAGGGACAGTTTAAGGGACAAAACAAAAAAACTGAAAGCATTAAAAGAACTGCTTGGCGGACCATGTCTGGCCATGAAAATACGATTGAATAGATTTAGTGACTTTTTCACTTAATAGCCTATAGAAAGGTGCACGGTGAGTGTATTCAGGGTAAGCTCTCTCTTATGTAATGTATGACATTTTATTTTGTATTAAATGGATAAAACAAACAGACAGTCAGACAGACAGACAGACAGACAGATAGGTAGACAGACAGAGAGGCAGACAGCTAGACAGATGTAGCCAGACTGTGGTGCTATTTTTGTATTAGATGAATAACATTAGTTATAAAAGTGTCCACATGTAACCAAGGTGAAAAAGTCTGAAAATTAAACACATAGACAAGACAAGTTCAGGGGGGAAATTTCTATATTAGAGCAATACTTTAATCTGCTTGGTGTGTAAGATCCCCCATTGCCACTTCTTACACACCAGGCAGATTCAAGTATTGTTTCTGTATGGTGATTTCAGAGCCAACCACAATCTCAAAACAAGAAAAACATGGCGGCAGTACGGAAAGACCTAATAACTGCTAGGTGACTGCATGTATAGTGAGGGTTTAAAGCTTAAAAGAACACTATTGTCACCTAAATTACTTTAGCTAAATAAAGCAGTTTTAGTGTATAGATCATTCCCCTGCAATTTCACTGCTCAATTCACTGTCATTTAGGAGTTAAATCACTTTGTTTCTGTTTATGCAGCCCTAGCCACACCTCCCCTGGCTATGATTGACAGAGCCTGCATAAAAAAAATAACTGGTTTCACTTTCAAACAGATGTAATTTACCTTAAATAATTGTATCTCAATCTCTAAATTGAACTGTAATCACATACAGGAGGCTCTTGCAGGGTCTAGCGAGCTATTAACATAGCAGGGGATAAGAAAATCTTAATTAAACAGAACTTGCAATAAAGAAAGCCTAAATACGGCTCTCTTTAAAGGAAGTGTTTATGGAAGGCTGTACAAGTCACATGCAGGGAGGTGTGACTAGGGTTGATAAACAAAGGGATTTAACTCCTAAATGGCAGAGGATTGAGCAGTGAGGCTGCAGGGGCATGTTCTAAAACTGCTTAATTAAGCTAAAGTTGTTCAGGTGACTATAGTGTCCCTTTAAAATAATGCTTTCTTGTCCTTTACCACCTGTTAGTATTTATAGTCAATACATGTTTGTTTTTTTTGTTATTTTTTTTCACAAGTCTCATTGTTGTGTTTTTAGTACCACTTGCATTAGGAGTTTTAATTGGTGCAATGTATAAGGTCACATTCTGTCTATTTCATCGTCTGTGCTAGTGGCACATGGTGACGGAGTTAGGTCCCCCAGTAAGTCTGATACCTATGTCTGAGCAGACTGGCATCCGGCTTGAAGTATGCTGCCACCTAACCTGTTCGGTGTGACCCAGCTTAACAAACTGACAGTAACAATTTGTGGCTGATGTTATCTCTTAATACAGTGATGTCAGGTCAAATGTTACCCATATATTGTAGGTCAAATAGTACTTACTGTAAAAATAGTTGTCAGTTTTTTTTCACCTCTTATGCTATAGATGAATGGAATCCAGTTGTATTTTTGAATAGTACAAACAAATGAGCATTTTCATTAAAAAAAAATGAATGCATGAATGAAACATATGTCCCCACTGATACATCAGATGTGACTGTGCCCATTTAGGACCTCAGCCTGTGGTCGTAAGTTCTTTCTCTGTTATCTTTTTTCTCTGACCAGCAACGCAAAATAGCAATAGTACATCCACAGGAGCACCATAGAATTAGGGCTCAAAGTTTCAAGTCCTATGCTACTACACAGGTGTAAAAGTTACTCGCCTCTGGAAACTTGTGGGGTCCATGACACACTCACCAGGGCTGAATTTCTACTTGCCAATGGCTACTTAATGAGTGTAAAATTTGGAATCCTGATAGAATTCCCTGTGTTTATGCACGCACTTACTAGGGCACTGTGCATGTGCATAAATAGTGGCATTTGTAACAATAAAACATCATCTCTAGTGCACATCTGTACCATGCACTTCTGGAAAAGTGACAGTCTGCATAAACACCATGCTCTACCATGTATGTTATTACATAATGGCATCTTCTTATCCCGTTGTCATGACGGGGTTAATTTATTCTCAGTTACATGTGGAGTTGTTGTTCCAACATTGGGCATTAATATCACAACATAGCCAAAACATTCACTGCCCACCACATGCCTACAGTACCAGTTCAGACAAGTTGATAACCGCTTGGGTTTCTTGCTTTCGTGTTATACTAGCTGGATCTTAACAATTTTATCTGTTTGCTTATAGAAAGAAACTCCCTAACATCAGTATTTTATAAACCTTTCAGACATTACATTCAGAGGATCATCTGTCAGTACATGGGCAGGGAACCTCATACAATAAAATGCATCTATTTCTAGGGTAATGTTTTCCCTTGCAGGTGAATTTCGTTATATAACGCCTGGCATTCTGCCAGCACTGTTTGATATGAATACTGCATTTCAGCAGCTGCTAGGAGTTTGCAGGGAGTGATTTACTGATATCCCAAGAAGTGTGTAAAACAGCAGATTTAAAAATACTCGAGGTCAAAGTGATTGCATAGAACATTGTAAAAACAAAACAAACAAAAAAACAAAAAAAAAACAATTTTATTGCAGGAACTAGACCATTAAATTCAATGGGCTCAAGTGTCCTATTGGTTATCTGTATATAGGATGGTAATTTGCCTTAAAAACCTCAACAAATTCCATTTGAAGTAAAAATAAAAGTCTTACAAGTTTGAAACGAAAGACGTTTTTTTCCTACTTGCAGGGCTCAAAATGTCCACTTGCCCCCTTGATAAAGGCAAGTGTAAATTGAGCCACAGTGAGCTATGTCTAGGATAAAGCACTCATAGATGGGGGGTGTAGGCAAAGAGAGCCTCTCCAGAGGCTTTAAATAGAGTGCAGCCACAGCCTTGCTTCAGCTAGTTCTAAACACAGCGCTTCGGGAGCTTGCACTGTAATAATGTGTGGAATCACTAGAGAACGTTTACCCAAGGCCGCTGGCAGGGCCGTCTTTAACGAGGGGCAAACGGGGCTGATGCCCCGGGCCGAGTTACTCCCGGGGGGCCCAAAGCAGCTGCCCCGTTTGCCCTCAATCACAACAATTTATTTTAGGATCATCAGTTATTTCGGGCTATCAGAGGCTGTGCTGAATCCGCCAATAGCCTGAATTATAAGGCGCCGGCTCTGATTGAGCCCCCTTCCTTGAGCTAGCTGGAAGATCAAAAGATCTCCCTGCCAGCTGTTACAAGTCGACTCCCTGGTGGTCTAGTGAACTCCCTGATGGTCTAGTGAACTTCAGTGTGCTGCTGGGGCTGCCCTACTCCTACGAGGTTCCGGCGCACTGTGAGTGTCAGAGCACAGGCGCCGGGTTCCCAGCCTGCGCTCTGACATCATCACACTGTGTCGGAACTGCGCAGCGGCCCAAGCAGCACACTGGACCACCAGGGAGTTAACTAACAGCACACTGGACCACCAGGGAGCGAACCAGCAGCACACGGGACCACCAGGGACCCACTGGACCACCATGAAATTAATGATTGCCTCCCCTGCCTGCACAGAAAATAAGCAGGAGGGGGGCAAAGCAAAATATATTTTAAGTCTGTGTGTTTTACCCTCACTCTGTGATATTAACCCCCTAACCCTGTCTCACTAACCCCCTAATCTTGTCTTACTAGCCACCCTACCCCTGTCACTCTAACCCCCTAACCCTGTCTCACTAACTTCCCAACCATGTCTAACTAACCCCCCTAACCTTCCTAACCATGCCATACTAACCTCCCTAACTCTGCCATACTAACCTCTCTAACCCTGGCACACTAACTTCCCTAACCCTGTCTCTCTAAACCCCTAACCTTTTCTCACTAACTTCCTAACCCTGTTTTACTAACTTCCTAACCCTGTCTCACTAACCCCCCTAACCTTCTTAACCCTGCCATACTAACTTCCTAACCCTGTCTCACTAACCCCCCTAACCTTCTTAACCCTGCCATACTAACCTCCCTAACCCTGCCATATTAACCTCCCTAACCCTGCCATACTAACCCCCCTAACCCTGGCACACTAACCTCCCTAACCCTGTCTCTCTAACCCCCTAACCCTTTCTCATTAACTTCCTAACCCTGTCTCACTAACTTCCTAACCCTGTCTCACTGACCCCCCTAACCTTCCTAACCCTGCCATACTAACCATGTCTCTCTAACCCCCTAACCCTGTCACTAACTCCCCTAACTTCCTTAACTGTCTCCCTAACCTCCCCAACCCTGTCTCACTAATCCCCCTACCCTGTATCACTAGCCCCCCAAACCTGTCTTACTAACCGTGTCACACTAGCCACCCTTAACCCTGTTACATATTTACCACCCGCCCACAATCACTCACCAATCCCCAACACTCACATCCAAACTCCCAACCCTGTCACGCACACTCCTTAACTGTGGCATTCTCACCCACCCTCACACCTACTCCCCAAACCCTATCACACTTACCCAACGGATGTCTGTGTGTTAATGTGTGTAAGTACCAATGGGTGTATCTCTGTATATGTGTCAGTGTGTGTAGCGTTGTGTCTGTGTATTTGCATGCATGTGGCTGTGTGTGTCTGTGTATCTGTATGTAGTAAGTGTGTGTATCAGTGTATCTGTATGTTGTCAGTGTGTGTGCATAGTGTGCATATCTGTGTGTCTGTATATCTACTTCTGTGTCAATGTCTGTATCTGTGCATCTGCATGTGCCTCTGTATGTGTGTTTGTGTGTGTATATGTATGTTGTTATTGTGTGTATCTGTGTATCTATATATAGTTAGTGTATGTGTCTGTATGTGTGTCAGTGTGTGTATCTGCATGTGTGTCTGCATGTGCATCAAGTTGTGTATCTGTGGGTCTGTTTGTGTGTCAGTGTTTCTGTATGTTGTCATTGTGTGTATCTGTAATCAGTATGTGTATCTGCATGTGTGTCAGCGTGTGTACCTTTGTGTCTGTGTAACTGCATGAATGTCAATTTGTGTCTCTGTGTATGTATCTGTGTCAGTGTGTGTCTGTATATCTGGATTTGTATCAGTGTGTGTGTATCACAGTGTGTGTGTGGCAGTGTTTGTGTATACATATCAGCATATCAAACACCAACACTACACACAAATACACCCCTACATTGATGTTAACACTACATACAAACACACCTCGTGTTAAACACCAAAATTAAATATAAACACATCCCTGCATTCAAAAACGAACATCACACATAAATGCATACTTGCATTCAAACGCCATACAAACACACTCCTACATTCACAAAAACATACTCCATACAAAAACATGCTTACATTCAAACACACAAACACTGCTCAGTGCTAAATATTTGTGCAAGCATGGGGAAATGGTATATCCCCAGCTGTCAAAGCATTGTTAGAGTTGTATGACAGATGGGGATCTCCCATTTTGCCCCAAAAAAGTCTTGCACCAGGGCCCTCTCTACTTTAGTTCCACCACTGTGTTGCAATGAAGGGTGTGATTGTATGCCAGGGAGTTGGGAGGCAGGGTCCAGGGAGCCCTAGCAAATGCTTGCCTAGGGTCCAACTATTATTAAAGATGGCCCTGGCTGCTGGGTTTAATATGCCCTGCATTCACACACACACTGACACTCCATTCCATGAACATGCTATTGCCATGCATTAAGTACAAAATGCTATTAAGCTATTGAGACCTGTTATTATTGTACTATTCATGTGTACAGATGCACCATCTCTCTGTATATGCTACTTTGCTGTTTGTGTGCACTATCTGTGTACACTGTTGTATTATTTGGACATACTGCTGTGCTGTTTATGTGTTCTGTTGTAGTAGGTGTATGTATTGTTTTTTGTTTATACTTTTGCACTGTTTGTGTGTACTATTGCACTGACTGTGTGTTCACTGTCCTGTCTGTGTTATAATGCTATCTATGCCATCATCTGTGTGAACCGCTGGCATGTGCCAGTAAAAGTCAACTGAGGATCCTCTTGTAATGTTCTGACACAGACCATGTACCACTCCAGCATGGTAACCTTTGAAAGGCAGCAGGGGGGAGCAGAGACTCAGCAAATTCGGTCTATTTATATGCTGCTCTGGCATTTCAAGAGATGCCATGGTTTATTTATTTCCATATATCTGCTTCACTCATCCCATTCTTTCACTGACTTGCTAAAAACTCGACATTCTAATACTCTAACATTTAATGTTCTAATGTAGAATAAGTAGCAATGTAATAGACATGTAAATAAAGAGAATTTGGAAATACACGAGAAACAAACCCTGTACGCTGAGTTTCATAACAGCTGAATGTGATTTGAACTGGTTACAACAGCTTTCAAACACAAAACTAGTTTGCTTTATTAGTTTCTCCGAGGTGAGAAAAACATTGGGTGTGGACAAGAAATAATTGCTTATATTCAGTGCCGTTGTAATCTGTGCCACAAATTGTGTTATTTTTTTCCACCCTCTAACCTTAGATATGCAAAGCTCTGGTTTCGGCTATACTTTCTGCTATATTCTTTTTTTTTTTTTTCCATATATCATTTTTATTAGAGAATGATATCAATGCATATAATATCAAAACTGTAACATTTTCATATAACAGAGTAAACAATTGCTATACGACAATTTACAACTATTTCTCCTAGATTGACATCAAAGCTTTGCTTAAACGTATTATGCTGTTGTCCTCCGGTAATTGTAGCCTTATTAGCTTCATTAAAACATAAGAATAACATAGAAAGATAACATAGAGTACAGAAAGTAAAAAAAAAAGGGGGGGGGAGGGTTAGGTTCACATTGATATTGCTTATGCAACAGTTCTTGTGACACATACCCTGGCCTTAGAACCCTAGAGCCTGGCCGGACATTCAAGTCACACAAAAGTGGTGCCCTATAAGCTATTTATTCCTATCAGTTTCCTCATTGTTAGTGTTGCTGTCCTGTGCCTTTCCAATATTTGTGGTCCAGCATTCCCAATCTCTCACATACCTACTTACACAACCCTGTGTTTTGCTTACCATTCTCTCGTAAATACTTATCGTATTCAACCTCTGTATGAGAGTATCTAACAAGGGAATCGTCGTGCTCTTCCAGTGGAACGCCAAGTTTATCTTAGCTACCGTGAGAATGATGAGCAATACTTTGTGGTTGGGGTGGTGTATCAGCCCGGGGATGTTATGCAGAAGGTAGCTGGTTGGCTTCTTTGGTATTCTATAGAGTGTGGTATCAGAGATAAATTTCCCCACCCGGTCCCAGTATTCTCCCAGGGCCGGACAATCCCAAAATGTGTGTAGCATAGTGCCTATCTGTGTTTTGCATCTCCAGCATAGCTCTGATGCCTCCTTACAGATTCACGATAACTTGTATGGCACCAGGTACCATCTCATGGTGATTTTACAGAAGGCTTCCCAGAGTGATAAGTTCCTTGAGGCTTGTTTAGTAATTGACATAGCTTCGAGCCAATGTGACAGAGGTATCTCATACCCCAGCTCCTTCTCCCATTGGATCATATAGGGCATTTTGTCTTTTGCAGGCCCCTGGAGAAGAGCATTGTAACATAGAGAGAGAGGTTTCAAGTGTTTGGCTGAAAGCATTGAGGGTACATTCACTACCACTTTGAGAAGTACATCATGTGTAGTGTCTAACCTGGAAAACATTAATTTTTTTACTCTCATGTACAAAAATAGGTCTCTCGGTGGTAGTGAGTATTGTTTTTGGAGCACTGGAAATAGTTAAATTTTATCCCCCTCTAATAGATCATTCACCTTTTGAATACCTTTTGTGACCCACGGTTTAATCATTAGGTCTGGGGAAATGCTCATCAGCACCTCAATTGGTGCAGAATGGAATAGGGTGTCGGGTTTAATAATGGTTGAATGCCAGGATCTCCAAGCTTGTACTAGAAATTTGGAATTGTGTAGCATATGGGCACACTTGACCGGGGGCATCATGTTGTACCATAGGGAGCTAGCAATGTTGTGTGGACTTATGCATGCATTCTCTAGGGACAGCCAAAGCGCGCGGGGGTCCGTATGCGAGAGTCACAAAATGCGTATTCCTTGAGCTAGCGCCGTGGCCCTATAATAGGCCCTGATGTCTGGTAATCCTAGGCCTCCCTTATTATAAGGGAGCCCTAAATTACGGTATGCCACTCGAGGTGGCTTTCGTTTCCACACATGTGCATTAGTGGTAGATTGAAATTGAAAAGTTTGGTAGGCAGTGATATTGGCAACGTACGAAATAGGTAAAAGATGAGAGGCAGGATCATAATTTTTAGAGAGTTTATGCGACCCAACAAAGAAACTTCTAATTTAGCCCATCTTACCAGTGAGGTTTTAATCTTGTGTAGCAATTGATGGTGGTTTTCTGTTTAAATTGTTTGGAAGGATTTAGTCAAATGAACCCCTAGATAGGACAGTTTTTTTTCCTCCAATCAAATGTGTATAGATTTTTTAGCTGGGTCACTACGGCTTGAGGGAGATTTATGGGTAAAGCTTGGGTTTTGGTAGTATTGTTTCTATAGTAGGAGATTCTACCATATGTGTTCAGGATTTCTAGTAGCTTCGGAATTGAAGTTGTTGGGTCCGAAAGAAACAGGAGAAGATCATCCGCGAATAACGCTAATTATTTCATACCCCCCGGGGTAACTAAACCTGGAATTTGTGTGTTCTGGTTTATTTGGCGTAAGAGTGGTTCCAAGCATAGGATGAAAACAATCGGGGACAGCGGACATCCCTGGCGCGTGCTGTTGCATATATGGAAAGGTGTAGATAGGAACCCTGTGCTAAAAACTTTAGCTGTCGGTTGTTGATAAAGGACCATGATACTAGATATGAAAGCAGGTGGGAAGTTCATTCTTTCTAGCGTTCGCTCCATGTAGCCCCAGTGCAATCGATCAAACTCCTTTTCAGCATCCAAAGCAAGGATCAGACCACTCCGGGACGAACGGTTGGCCCAGTCTACGAGGTTCAGAAAATGTCTGGTGTTGTCCCCAATTTGCCTGCCTGGTACAAAGCCCGCCTGTTTAAAGACTCAGGCATACTTCCGAAGGAGATGCTAGAAGCTTACATAATAATGTTGCCCAAACCCAACAAACCCCCGACATTCTGTGCCAATCTCCGTCCGATATCTTTACTGAACGCTGACTTAAAACTCTATGCCAAAATAGTGGCGACAAGACTTTCTGCTATATTCTAATGAGTATTGAGCAATACTCTACCTGTTGCTGGACTATAGCTACCACAGTGCTTGGCAGATCAAAGACTGCTTAAATATTAATTCAGGCATCTCAAACTCTGGCCTCTTAGATGTTACTGAACTACAACTCCCATGATTCTCTGGCCAGCAATTACATTCATAGAATTCTGGGAATTTGACACCATCAACACCTGGGGCACAGAGTTTAAGATGCCTACATTACAGCAGCTCTGTCACAGAATGGGGTCTTCACCTATTTTGCAAAGATTCTCGATGGTGATTGCTCCACTTTCAATGTTGTGGAGCATAGGTCCAAGGGAAGGTAAATTTTACTTACCTGCAGCGGTCTCTTGGATCTTCATCCAGTGGGTTCTCTTCAACTCCAGTCCCTTTATCTGCCAGGATCCCACGTAAGCAACAGTAAACACGTAGGTCTATGGAGTCTGCATTGATAATGCCTTTTTCCTCACAACCATCACTAGTAGTGGATATGACAAAACTTTGCTGCAGTAATTCTGCATTTTGTCAAGTTTTGTCAAACATGGGGAATATACATATGACAAGCTACTCACTATCATTTGACTGTGTTGTAATTTCAATGAAATTCCAACAGTCAATGAGAGTATTTCTTAGAGATTTTATATTGCTAAGCTATATATTTAATTTATTCACCTATTGTAGTATTTTTTTACAGTATATCTTGTAAGTCATAGCAACTTTGTTAAGCCTTCTAAGCATACTCCTCCTATTAATCTTATATTTTTCGATGGTGCAATATGAAATGTTCAACTGATATTAACCAACTGATATTAAGGTTTTAATCACGTCTTAGAACCTTTGTACCCTTAGAATACAAACAACAGAAAAGTCCATTATTGTAGTCTATAGATATCACTGGTTCCTGAAAAAGGAACACAAATATCTGATAATCCATTACTATCTATTCCAGTAATAGCACTTTATCATATGGCATGCTGGAAAATGAGAAAACTATATTGAGCAATTTATTCTTGTTTGCTTTAGTAATCAACTTTTCTGTTTGTACTTTAAATACAATGTAATTGTAGGCAGTACACTTTCGCCTTCATATCTATAAACACGGGAAGGTGCCACAATTTAAAGGAACACTAGCATTATTAAAAACGATATCTATTTTAGTGATTGACTGTTCCTTAGTGTGTTAAGATTTAGGTATTACCTTTAAATAATTTTTTTTTTATTATTGTTTCTTTTTTTAAAAAAGTACAGACAATATATGCATTGAGATTACCTCACTAAGTACATATGTCAACTTATGCGCATATATATATATAAAAAAAAAAGAGTGACAGACAGTAAGTACAGCTGTTAGCAATTAACAGTTGCCATTAACCATATTCTTATTAATACTTCAGTCGTACAAAAAAAAGGACAAACATTTAAGATAAATAGATGTTTTGGCATGGAGACCCTTGCTTAGCAGCATAAAGATCGGGGCATCATACATTTTAACCAATTTCCTGACTTCTGTATTCTTTAATTATTACCCTAGTTTTTTTTAATTAACCATTGATTCCAAATTCTGTTATATAGGAATTATTTCTGTCTTGCTAAGTAATGCCCTTTTTCCATTAAACACTGTTGAGAGATCTGACTTATAACCCTTGACCATTGTATTTCATCTTGACTTTTCCACTGCATTGCTACTACAATTTTCATGGCCAGTAATATTTGTATTGTCAAGGCTTTATTAGAATTAGAAATTTAAATAAATTTGAAAAAAAAAATTAAATGTTGCAGTATCCACTTAGGTCATCAATACTGACGATCTCTGGTCCAATCAGATGCATCATCATTCTAAATCTACGGCACATGGACATCAATTGCTACGCTCTGCCGATCCATTGCATTTCATAGAGAAGTGTTAAATCTGGTGCGTCTTAAAGGAACTCTCAAAGCACCATAACCACCACCACCACAGATTTGCAGTTTAGCTGCATTTGTCTACAGATAAATACAGGTAAATTCTTGACTATTCCTGTTTTAGTGGATAACTTTAAGGAACGTGTGAACGGTGGTGCATTTGAAATCAACCGGGTTGGTTTTTGGGGGGCCTGGACATTTTAAAGTTATCATACTGTTATGTTTATTGTGATTAAAGTGTTATTATGAAATTATTGGTTAACAAAACCCTGTGCGTTCTTCCCTCTGTTACTAAGTGCTGTCATTTTAAAACAAATGGGCACTTGGATGCTGCTACAAAATAACATTAAATAAGTAAATAATCTAAAAACATTTAATACATAAATAGACTCCAGAACATTGAGCCACGTTTTGTTGATGTTTTGTCATGACATTGTGTTGTTCATTCGTGTAATTATTGAAACATTCTCAGGCATGTGGGAGTGAGATAGAATTCCACTTCAACTCTATTAAAATCTTGTTCACAGATAAACCCACTTCCAAAGGAATGCTCTTCACAATTGTAGTATTAGTTTCTGGATCATTCTGGAACTGACAGTGCCCAGTGCTTTTAGTTTGTGTTTACTGCTGTGCTATAAATGAGTAATGTTGTATTGTTTGTAATCATGTTTACATGTTACATGTTTGCTTCCTGGATTTCTGCATTTTCTTCAATGTGTGCAGTGGTGTACTGTTCTTAACATATTACTAAAGGAAAACTGTACTCACTATAACAACTCCATGTAAATGAAGTTGTTATAGTGCCTACAGTTTTTCCTCTCTTCTTAGTGACCCCAAATTAAATGTTTTAACTAATTAAAAGGCTTGGAAGCGTGGCTTCAAGATGTACCTCTGTGTCTTTTGGGTATGAGAGTCGGGACTATTATAGTGTAATAATTATCCTAAGATCCCCAGTGCTGCTCTATGAGGAGCATTGGATTGGACCATCATCCTGAAGTCAGGCCTCCAGGATGACATCATACGAGGAGGAGTTGTGGCAGCGCTCTTGTGTTGGTGTTTATACATGCTTTGATCATCAACAGCCAACTTGTTGCCAATATAAATATAATTGAAACAACGTTTCCAAAGTGTAAAATCAAGCATTGTAGTTACTACCTTATTGCCCAATCATTATTATTATGATTATTAAAAAATTGACAGAAAATAGAATAAAAACCCCCACAGATTCCTTGTGCTATACCAACTAGAATAAGTTGTAGTGGTTATGGTGCATGAAGTGTCCCTTGAAAGTTACATCTAGGTGTCTGTGGGGATTGCTAACTGAATAGAATAAACTTGCCAATCGGAAAAACTAGGTTTGTCAGCAATGTACTTTTAACTAGTAGCTGGTTTCCTCATTGAATTCAGCAGCGCCCCATTCATGACAACAAAAGCCTGCTAACAGGATGGGTGTGCTATGGAGTATGTAGCAATTTTTAATACATTTTAATGAATACTAGAAAAAGAATAAAAATAGTTTTAAAGGAATACCTGAAGACTTAACATTTAATGTTCCTTTAGATAATTACTATTGTATAATGTGTATTGATGTAGGACAAAACAACCAACTAGAAAAGTTGTAGAACCAGATGATTTGTCACATTCAATGCTCCATAATGCCCTGTTTTGGTGAAATATCTTGATAGTGTGATTTGTAAAACTAAGTCACACATTGGTGTGAAAAAAACCCCAAATCAATTATTGCTAAACAGAAGATTTTATCCAACTTCAGTATTTTAACTTAAAATTTTCTAGTCAGGTCGCTGTTTAGTGAATAGGCCCCTTTATCATTTGTCTATGTACCTTGCTAATTGATTCAAATTTTTCACTGAAAGAAGAGTCAGGTCTATTTGTATGGGCCTGAAGCTCTGTAACTGTAGGTCAGCCAGTTTGACATTTTGTCACACACTGACAATGTCTTAGTTTGTTATTGTGCTCCAGGCGTTTCAGACCTGGGGTCAGTAATAGCTGTCATGTTTAAACACTGGGTCTCCAATTAACATGTTCAAGATTCCAATCGCTCTGAGGGCAAAAGTGTGCTGTCTGAAGTCACATCTCTTTTAAAATGTCAACGCAGAAGATAAAAAACGCAAATGAGAACAAATTGGCTCATCTTGTCCTGTCATTCTTCAGTGTCTCATTCAGTAGAACACAAAAGGATTCACAAAGCGCTTTGAATCCCCCTGGGGAATGAAAGGTCTACTAGGTACCTATTTTTCATTGATATTAGCTTCTTAAACATCCAATCGTATTTATCTGGAAGAGAACATTATCAGGATTATATACTAACGTGCGAATTGTTGTGAATGCAAGGAGAATTTAAAATTCTAACCCAAAGTAGTGAAACTCAAAACAAAGATGACAGAGAATTCTTCAATACCAGCTCTTATGGCCCAAAAATGTAAAATTCCCTTTTAATTCCCAGCAATTCAAACGTTACCGAATAACCCTGCAAGACTCTGTTTTAAGATATTGTTACACAACGCTAGTTTTCTTACTTGTTTTTTGATTGGATTTGCTTTCTCACGCCAAATATACATATATGTTTCAAAGAACTACCTATGGTTTGATTATTAGAATGCTAATGAATATAAGGTAAACAAGATATTTGTTTTTGTGTGCGCAAATCACCTTTTCTTTCTCTTCACTTTATCACAATTGTTAAGTGTAAACGGTGACATTACACTTGGGTAATTTTAGCTGCACCAGACAATATACTATAAGAAAAGGCAGTGTTTACATTGCTCCCTTGGAACACCTCTAGTGGCACTCACTCAAGCGGCCACTAGAGATGCTTTATGGATCAGTACTGCTCAATCTTCCCCATAGAGATGCATTGATTGCATTTTGCAGAGCATGTGCAATAGCCTCACAATGCTTTCCTATGGGAGAGCATTGGATTGACTGAGGTCATCAAATCTGATGATCTCAGCTAAGGAGGCAGAGTAAGGGCGGGAGTCAGGAAAGGACCAAATTCATGCAGCACTGGAAATAAGGTAAGTTCTTTAATTTTTAAGGGGGTGCAAAGGGGCAGAGGACCTACAATTTGTTTTTATACCTATAATGTCAGGAATACATGTTTGTATTCCTGTCACTATAGTGTTGCTTTAAGAAAGTTTTCCTTGGAACATTTAGATATAAATAAAACATAAATTGTATTAGTAATATCTAAAAGAAAAGATAAAATGTATCAATGTTAAAAGCAGAGTGATAATACATTTTTTGTAGGACATCTAAACCTTGCAGGTTTGCTGGTCTTTATACAAGCTTTAATCATCAACTGCCAACTGGGCGCTATATAATTGAAACAATATTTTCAATGTGTAAAATCAGCAACAAAGTGTCAATATGAATAACAAGTGTCAGGGGTTACTAAAAACTTAGAAATGGTTGTAAGAGGTGCACAAGTCTGAAAACAGCCCTAGAGCAGCTACTATATGGAACGAAAACAATGTATTAAGAAGATATCCAGATTATCCCTACACTGTGCCTTCAAAGTCACCTACTGGCATACTAAAACTAGAATATGTCTAAACCGCCCTGATTGTGCCTTCAAGGGCACCAGAAGCTATCAGGCTAAATCACAACTACCAACTATAGCTACAAAAAGATACATGTTAGCTGTGTTATACTCAAATCTATATTTCTCATGTCAATAAATGTTAGTATATAAATGCTTCAGTAGATCAAGCAAATCAAAAAGGCTAATTAAAGGACCACTCTAGGCACCCAGACCACTTCAGCTTAATGAAGTGGTCTGGGTGCCTGGTCCAGCTAGGGTTAACCCATTTTTTTTTATAAACATAGCAGTTTCAGAGAAACTGCTATGTTTATGAATGGGTTAAGCCTTCCCCTATTTCCTCTAGCGGCTGTCTCATTGACAGCCGCTAGAGGCGCTTGCGTGCTTAGCACGCCAGCGTCCATAGGAAAGCATTATGAATGCTTTCCTATGTGACCGGTTGAATGCGCGCGCAGCTCTTGCCGCGTGTGCGCATTCAGCCGACGGGGAGGAGAGAAGGAGGATCGGAGGAGAAGAGCTCCCTGCCCAGCGCTGGAAAAAGGTAAGTTTTAACCCCTTTCCCCTTTCCAGAGCCGGTGCGGGAGGGGGACCCTGAGGGTGGGGGCACCCTCAGGGCACTATAGTGCCAGGAAAACGAGTATGTTTTCCTGGCACTATAGTGGTCCTTTAAGTGGGATATAGATAGAGCCCCGACCCACATTTCGCAGGTCAGATGGCTCTTCAAGATTCTTCATGGCTCTGCGTTTTTTCATGTCTATATGTTCTAAGGAAAACAGTTTCTTAAATACACTACTTTATCCCTCTGGTTACTCCCCATCTTTTCCCTTAGAACTTTTAGCAATTAGCTCTACTTCTTTATTTCAACTTTTGAATTTCGTTAACATTTGTTTCCTTTAATTGTCAATGAGCAATAGATGCTCTTCAACAATAATGTGATACAGACAGTAAAAAGGTCTCTCTAGGTAATCAGCTCCCTTTGAATGTTTCCTAATGTTGCAGACCCACCATGTTTTCTCAAGCATATATTATTATTTCATACTGTTGGGTAGTGCTGGAATAATGCTACTGTTATTGTGCGTTTAAATTGTCAGTAATTGTGAGTGAATCTAAAGTAAATTTCAAATTGTAATATGATCAAGCTTAAAACATCTCTTACTTGGAGAAATGTTCAATTTCAGCTATTTTGGTCTAAAATTTTATATTCACTTTTAATTCTTGACAATTCTGAATTTAGTGAATAATCTTGTGGCTAAATGTAGAATTTTCCTAGCTATCAGAGTTACTTTATGAAACATAACTTACCCCTTCTCGGCATTCACTTTTATTATCAGTAGATATTTCTTTTATAAATGCGTATAACCTTAAAAATATACAAAATCAGTAAAGCTGGATCATTCAAGGGCAAGAGAGATTTATTAGAATTCAAACAAACCAAAAAAAGATGCATTGTTGCATCACCCAGCGAGCACAGACATGGCTAATGAGACTTAATTTAGGTTAAGCCTTTGAAAAAAGTCTGCAAAAGCATACTTTTTTAATTACTACATGTAGCTGTATTACTCATATTGGAAAAAATGTAGATTGTTAGCCCTTATATAACGTTTACATTTACAGCAACAGAAACTGATCTGGTTCAATTGTTTAATTTGGGACATCAGGCCAAATTTACAATGTCCCTCGATTCCCACCTAAAAACCTATACAATTAAAATGTCTACTGAGTGTCAACATTATGCTTTAGCAGGCAAACTATATCTTATTGGGAAGAATGAATAAGGCACAGGAAACAAGTAGATATAGTACCAGTGATGCTTTGCATGTCACGGGGGATGCAGCTGGGAGATCCCATAAAAGGATGAGTCTCCCCAAAACCATGTATGCTACCCTGATCAGAGGCCCAGCTCAGGGTAGTCCATGCACCAGGTGCTGTTGCAGGGCTGTAGTATGGGCTATGTTAAATACCCTTGGTCTACATAGTGAGAGCATGTCTAATGGTGTGCTTATGGAGGACTTTTCTCTGGTATCCCAAGAAGTGAGACACTATAGATCAAGCCAAGGATGAAATGACAAAAATACTCAAATTTATGACTATCCTATCGAAAATGGAAATATGGCAAGTATAACAGCCATAATAAGGAACTACTTGCTAGCCAGCAGACATCGAGCAAATGTTCTCCTCTATACCCACACCCAATACAGTAAGGGTGGGTACAAATTCAAACATTTTCTACTTTCATTAACATCTAGGATTGGGAAGTTGAGTGAATCAGGCTGATTGGCCTTTTTTAAAATCAGTAAATATTTCCCACTACTTAGCTATTAGAGAATGGCACTCTTTTGAATGCAAACAAATGTATGGTTGATTAGAGTGTTATACTGTGCTGCTTCTAAAGTTTGTTCAGTGCCAAGTTCTGCTTTATCTTTGTTGGCCGCAAGCAGGCGTGTCTGCCTATTCATGCAGAGAATCTCAAGGGCTTCTTCTTTTATAACTTAAGCTGACTATAAATTCTCCTGATCTGAATGGGATACATACCCAGCTTGAACAACAAAACATAACACTATAGCTTAGTAAATCCTATCCTTTTAGTGATGTGCCATTCACAGAACATGTGATAGGTATCTGGGCACCTGAAATAACCTCCACTTAATTCAGTGTTCTATTAAAATTTGCTCATTATGAAGACTAATCTCGTACTTGTCCAGCAGACTTGGCATATAAACAGAAGGTTGATTTGCCTAAAAAACCTCCTCTTTCTCCTCTAAAAAGCTCATATTTTTAGTTTTACTTTAAATATGAATACTTTAATATAACCTATTTTCATTATTGATAAAATGTTGTATAAAAACAACATGCTTCTACTATGTCCATCTGATCATTAATATTCCCTTTCCAATTCATTAAGTTCCTTAACCATAATAGGTACAGTTATTTGGGCACTATCCTGCTTCCCCAGCCTGACAGATTTCTACATAATATATTTTTTGGGGGGGAAAAAGGCCAGAAAGGTTGCCAGGGAAGTACTTTAAGGAATTTGTTTGTGATGTTTGTCAGAGTTCAGTTCTCTGCTGTAGGGATATCCTGTTGTGTTTGCCTGCCAAATTCACATTTCAAGGGACATAGATCAGTAGATAGCCTGGATATGTGAACTCGAGATACCATGGCAATAATAGGTTCACTTTACTTCAGCCGCAAACACCCAATTATTCTAACCATTCAAGAAGAAAGTGAGCAACGCAGGAGTATTATAACCTGGACACATTTTACATGTCCAAAGTGCCCCTCATTTAATCTAGTCTGTCCAGCTAGCATCTATTTTCCTAGGGACCCATGAGTTGTATCTGTGAGAGTTACACAGAAAAATCACCCTTTGTGATTTGTGTTTAACCTATTGTGAGCATAATATAAATTTGTTTCTGAAAATAAAGTGCTCTGATGGTTTTATAATGGCTCACCCAGCATCATATATTGCTCTCCAAAGATTTAGACGACTCTTTTCTTTAAATTCCTGCAGATATTATATCACTTGCAACATCTACCAATGGTGATAATGCTTGATATGGGAATTGCACTCATTTACAGTTCAATAATGGAGCCCTGTCTCTAAAGTAATCTCTGTAATTTGTATGGGTTAACCCCTGAAGTATGTGGCACTTCCCTGTCCCATGCATCTGAACATGTCAACATTTTATTAAGTCAAATGCACATTATGAGCATTTACTTAGATTGTTGGTGTGCACACATCTCACTAAGGAGAGACAGGGCTCTATTCATTAAACTGTTTTTACTTTAATTTGGGTTAATTCTCTAACTTTCAGTTGACATAATTCCTCTTAGGTTATTTACTAATGTAAGCTCTTTTTAGCGGAGCCCTGAACACCCTCTGTTGCTGTGCGTCCAGCTCTTCTTGTTACAAATACATGTCTGTTAGTCCACCTATAGTACTGTGCTGAGGAATTTGTTGGCACTTTAGAAATAATAATAATAATAATAATAATAATAGCTTTCCGAATTCTAATTGAATTGAGCTGAATGGATCACTGCTATTTCCAAATAAATCTTATTGCTGTATTAAGATTCTTGGAAAATACCTCAACCATATTGTGACCCACGTACAAGTGAAATGTTTCCAAATTTCAACATTTCACTAGTACAATAAAATCATCTCATGGTAAGAAAAGGGTTGAGATATTGTTATATTGGAAAGGGTAATTGCAGGTAGCGCTAGGTGACCAAAGGATATTGGTGCTTCTCCACTGGTCTGTATCAGGGGATGAACTGAATAAGTAAAATGTGGTTGTAATTCAGTTTGAGAATAACTACATCAACTAAGTTACATGGAGATTCCACTGATTTGCAAAGACAACCAAAATGCAGCCAAATGGAAGTACAGATATGGTGAAAAAAAATAGGCAAATTTGCCTTTTATGAATAAACAAACAGGTTAGAAGAGCTGAAGTGTAAATTCCTCTGCTGTTCAGTTGTTTGAAGCACGGTGAATAGATTCTCTCATAATCACCCATCAAGTAAATATGTATTCTGTACATGTGGTGGCTAATATCACTAATATGATGTGTTGGTTACATTATATAACCTACCTGAAGCTGACCCTCCACACATTTGTGATTGACAGGCTCACTTTAATTTGAACTCCTCAGAAAAAAATGTAAGTTTTATGAAAAAAATCAATTTCTATACTTAGAAACACAACTAAGAACATTTATAATGGCTAGAGCGGGTCGTTTTCATTTTAGGTGTGGTCTGGGACAAGGCTACTTCACAGCATTTTATGTGACCACAATCTACTAATAAGTATGCAAAAGAGAATGTAATTTGGAGCAAGAGACTCACATATCTATTTGCACAGACTAATTTCTAAACACATTGTGGCACCACTCCACTGAACATTGCACAATGAGATGCATTGATTTAATGCTTCTCTATGAGGAGATGCAGATTGGTGCAGCGCAGCGTCTTGCCGTACATGACACTGTAAGTTAAGGTTACAGGTCCTGTACCAAGCAGAAAATAACATAGATCTTAATCAAGGTACTGTGTGCAATTAAGTATGGTATTAAAGTGTTGCTAGTCCTGTAAATTTTTTATTTTTTTTAAATCATCTGCTGTAGTCTGTTTCGGTGACAAGTGTACTCATGGAAATTTCCAGTATGAAAATGTCCTGCGTTCTATTCTGGGATCCACCAATTTGGGTTCTGCCTTGTAAAACTCCTGATCATTTATAATATCTAAAGGAGGAATGGTGCTGTGTGAAAAACAAGATTTACAAGGTGTTGAAAGCAGATATGTGGTATGTAATGTTCTGTAACATGATGCTGAACACAGACACAACGAGACACCACAAAGTTTATTTAGTCTTAACTGCACTTCACCGACATCTGCATTACTGCATCAGTACTAACGCGTATAAATGATTGTGCTAATAGGTGTATATCTGTGTATTTAAGATAATTCTAAAACCATGCAGCAGCATGTATGTTGTGGGTGGGTGGGGGATGGAAATATTATTATTGTGGCAATAATAACACTGAATGTGTTCTTCTTGAGAGCTGGAGAATTACTATCTTCTATCCTTACATTAATAACATGTGGACTATGGGGCTCTGACATTCCCACAATTCTGCCATCATCTTCTGGTATGTATGATTACAGCTTGATCATTGGTCTATATGACTAATGATTGATCAACTAGGGTTGCAAATACTCCAAAAAGGTAGGGAAAGTCACAACTTTTGTCTGCCTACTAGCTTCTCTACAACACACAATTACCCCTTGTCCATTATTAGGAAATGGAAACAAACCACCTTGGCATTAATCATGCCCAACCCCACCAGCTTGCACAATGCTGCTAAAAGGCATTTTATCAGCTGACAGCACATACTGACTGTCTGTTTCTTGAAACTCGGCTGTCCAGGGATAGTATCAGGGCTATCAGGGTAGTCAGTTATTCTTTTTATAACTAGTTTAGACTGGAAACATTTTCCCCATATTCAGCTTTTAGTGAATAGCAGAAGTACAAACATAATTTTAACAGCTGTCTTGAAATGACCTGAGATGACTTTTTTTCAAAGCAAGGTCAGACCTTTGTGGATAGCCCCACAAAATGATAATCATGTCTCTTCCTCCAGAGGTTTAGCAAGGTCATGAGGCAAATGTTTTATTTGTACCCCCCAATACCCTCCTCGGCGGAAACTTTATTTACTACATGGCACTCAAACCCCACACCTGCACTTTGACCTACACGGACACACAAATACTGACCCATACACACATATGCACCGACACTCACACTGACACAACACACTCACTCACACACAGATACTGATACAGATCCATACACACACAGACACACAAACACTCACCCATGCACACACTAACAGTGCAGACACTGACGTATATATACATAGATACTGACACATGCACTCACAGTACATACACTGATCTGTACACTCAGTGAAGTACTTCATGAATCAAAGATTTAAATGTAGTTCATCAGGACCAAAATAACACTTGCGTAGCCACAATGTTTATATAAAAATGCTGCAGTGAATTACATGACATGTACTAATTTAACAGTCTGGTTTATTCACCAAACAGGTAGTTGTGGAGAAATGCTCATTTTCAGCTAATTCTTGAGCTTGGTTATCCAGCATTGATATAAGATATAGGCCAAAATGGGACTCAAATCCACACCACCCAAGTGCATGGCAGCTGTAAACTCAGCTGTTTGCTGTTTAAAGAATAAGGTCCCAAGAGTTTGATGGACTCTATAAGTTACTTTTATGCTTACAAGTCAAACCTTAGGCAGTGCAGTTGCTCGGTGGCAAAAAGACCAGGGGGTTCAGCCCAAAGGTAGATTTATGGCCCCTCCTGCATAAATTAACTTAAGCTCCTCCTAAAATAAATACCATGCCCTTAGTCCAAACATCAACACTATATTCTTGAAATCACTTTGTCACACAAACGAGGTTCTTTATTGAAGTGAGAATTATCAGAAATTCAAAGTGAATTCCAAATTTAAGATCAAAGTAGCCGAACTAGAAGCATAACTGACATGAAATTATTTTCTACTTCCGCTATTTGTGCCTTGCATTTAAAATGTCATGAGCGGGTTAAAAGCACACGTGTAGATGTACATGATAATCAATGTTTTCTGAAAAAAAGAGCTTTGTTTGTTACAGGTAACAGACTGTAAAGATATCATCTTCACAGAGTTTTCATCTGCCTCCTCACAGGATAATGGTTGCACGGCATGTTGAAAGCCAAGCTCATCTCCTCGGATGATGACTCTGAATATTCTACCAGTTGAGCAGCATATTCTAAATAGTGTTCTGCACATTCCAATTCATGAATTGCTTGCTCCAGGCTAATGCCTAAGAATACCTCTCCCCTGCTAATGCCAAACACGCTATTATCTATTGATACCTGTCTGTGTCTGCGTGCGTGTCAGTGTGTCGTGGTTGTTACTGTATGAATAAATTATTCATTTGGCAGGATTCTTTATTCTGTAGGTATAAATGTATCACAGGGTCACTGGATATTTTGTCTGTTGTGCAGGAGCCAAACAAGAGAACAAAAGGCCATTTTGAGTGTTCCATGCTCAAGGAATGCCTTCTTCCTGACGGAACCCCTGCAGGCCTGATATTTATTCACAGACACGCATACACAGACAGGCACTGTCATTTAGTAGGTTTAATAAATGTAAGAAATTAGCAAAGTAAAAGCTGAGCAGCAATAATATTTACAGCAGCAGTGAAAGGCCAAAAATGTAATCGCATTGACATTAACTCGTATAATGACGTTAATAAAAAATGTTTTGTTATAATGGGAGTACTCTCATGTGCAGCAAGTTGGACAAAATTGAGACCCATTAAGTGACACAAAATATTTATCTTCATATAAGCTTGTCTGTAACTACATTCATCTTTATATATATAAAAAGTACAGCGAAGAGGTATGGACAAGCTATCTGGTGTAATAGGGAAATTAGATAATACTAAGAAATAGAGGCAGAGTTTTGCGGAGAGAGACACAAGATCATTCACTAACTTTGTGAAATCAACGTTTTGCAATCACAATTAATTTAAAATAAATGTGACGTATTAAACCACAATAGTCAAATGGTCAAACTACTGCAAGTCAATTATGTTTCCAGTTCTGTAATAGTATAAAATTAAATTCACAAAAAAATTACACTTTAGTGAATAATCCCACCTAAAAAAATGTACTGGAACTGTGGAATAATTAAACACAAAATGATATAGCATGAAAAATGTTAGAGACTCTGAATGTTATATATTATAGATTATATCTTGCCTATTATTAATATTATGGGCCTCAGTTGATTGAATTGCTATTAGTTGGATTTTTGCTGTTTATCTAACTGTAGGTAGGGTATAGACTTCTTCAGATAATATTACTAACGAATATGCTGGAGATAAACAAAAAGGTTTGAAGCATTATCAGGTGGACAAACCTTGAATACATTTTACATGCGTGTGGCCAGTTTGCACGTATGAAGGTATAAAGGCATACACTTCCAACAACATCAAATGTTATAAAACAGTACTGACCTTGAACTAATGGATCAGGTTCATTTATTTTCTACACAGATGTCATAAAAACAGATATTTGATTATGAACTGGTTCCTGATTACTGAGCGACTGATAAAAACTATTTTTGACACTTGGTAAATTGATATAATTTATCTCACTGACAAACTAATGTCAACCACAATCAATTGTCAACAGGTTTAATACTCTTGCACCATGACCATTTCAAAACACTGAAGTGATAAGGAGCCACATTTTGGAACATAAGTGCTCTTCAGTAAATAGTACATTTTGGTGAAATTACAGCCACATTACAAACTTCAGGCAAAATAGATGAGTTGAAAAAAAATGATCAAATTCTACTTTGAAGTCTACAGTTTGTTATAAGAGATAAGATAAGAGATAAGCATACTTCTGGTTACTAAAGACCAATTTTCCCACAGATTTCAATGAGTTAAATGTTATTGAGTAACCAGAATAACGTTTATCCTATATAAAAGAATTAGGCCAATCGTTTTAAAGCGTGCAGTTTTTGTTATATTTTTGATGGGCTTTTTTTTCTGTAATCACATGCTTATGAACTGTGGCATTGCACATGCCTCTGAAAAACCACAGTTTGTTTATTTTTCATTTTATTTTTGCCTAAGGATACTCTTCCAAGAAAGGGAAAAAATATATATATATATATAGATATATATATTAAAATGTACCTTTTCATCTTAATGTTTTTATGTTTTCATGCTAAATAAGAGTCTCCAGCAGCCTATCCTCTCTGTGTTGGTTGGGCTAACAAGGAATTAGCCTGAGCAGCAATAGGCAGCTGTGATTGGCTGAGAGTGTTAGATGATTGCTTTTAGCCTATCAGAGCACCAATGGGCATGTAATCTCTACTTTAGCCATGCCTCCAGTAAGGCCTAAGGGTTGTGGGTGGCCATGAATCCTTCTTAAGTGTTAAACTGCTTGGAAATGGTAGAGGGACAGTGCCTTGGGACTCCAGACACTAAAATAAATTCAAACAGATGAAATGGTTATAATGCCTACAGGACACCCTGGGCACCAATTCAACGTCAATGTGTTTGATAGATTTTGCTCTCATTAACATGTTTTTTTTGCATGCTCACAATCAGTAATACATGTTTTGCAGAATGCAGCACCATAAACCTGCATTTTTAGCCATGCCAGAAAACTTTCTTATCAAATGTATGCTCAAAACTCAGCCACCGACAGTACTAAGTGAGCTGTTCTTAATTCACACTTTGGCTGCAGCTAGGGAAATTATAAACAGGTAGTGGTATCCTTACTATATGATAAAATGAAGTAATTTTACAGAGTGAGGTGGTGTGGCTAAAGAGGTAGGTTTATAGTTTTTATGCTAAAACTATAAAGATTTGAACATGCAAAAAAATAAAAAATAAACCAGACAAAGAAACCAAAAAAGCATGTTAATGACACCAAGATATAACAAATGTACTAAAGTTGTATTAGTGCCTGTAGTATCCGTTAAACTCTTCAACTACAGGGCAACTGCACAGTAGTCATGTAAAGCACAGTTCAATGTAATTCATCCTATTAGTGTCCTTGCAGCAAGATTATGTTTTGTTTTTTGTTTTTATCGGAAGTGTGGTGAATTAGCACTGAATTAAAATAACAAACTATTAAAAAAAATAGCAGTTCAGCAGAGTTGAAGATTTACCAAGTAACATTTATTGGTATTAGTTTTGCAAATTCACTGTAAATCAGTGCTTACTTAATAGGCCACTAAGATATTATGCACTTTAAATTAGCACTGGAGATAACACTTATCATAAAGCAAACTTAATTGACATTGGTTGCGCAACTCTAAAGTGGTTCTGGCGCTTGATGGGTGTTTGGATATTTTGCTAAGAAACCCCCCAAGGTGACCTGGTGGTGTCAAAGAGCAGATATAAGAAATAAAATGTATTTGGACACTTTAGTTCTCTCCTGTGGACGCTTTATTTATGAGCAGCACATGATAAGTGCTGTCCCGATGTATATAACAATATAAATCACGCAAACGTGTAAAACATATACATGTTAATGCTGCATGTAAGAAATTAAGTGATATCTTACAAGTTTGAGAAGCTTTTGAAATGAACTATAACTGTGGCAGTAACTATTTACTTTACAGTTGCTACATAACATTATTGATAATAATGTGGTCATTTTACATTGCTTCCACTGTCGGAACTACTGTCGGTGAAGCAGCACAGAAGCCTCAAGCGGCATCGGATGTTTCTCACACTTACTGACATCCAGTGGGCATCTCTGATCAGGGGCCTGGTCAGGAGCTGGGGCTCTTTCATAGCACAACCTAGCCCCTGAAAGAGTGGCAGTGCTATGAGGAAGTTAACTCAGGCCACCTCCTCCCAGCTAACAGAGCACCACAATGGGAGGCAGAGAAATGAAGTGGGAGAGAGCCTGCACCTCAGACAAATCTGGATCCCAGGGAAGCCACCATCTCTGTGTCTGTCAGAATGTGTTTATCTTTGTCTATGTATATCTTTGTCAAAATGTGTGATTATCTCTGTGTGTGTGTATGTGTCAGAAGTGTGAAGCGTGTGTATATATCCATACATCCCAGCATTTAAACACCAAAACTACACACAAATGTACACCTGCATTTAAATGCCAACACTACACACAATACACCCCTGCATTCAAACGAAAAAACAGTACACATACACACTCCTGCGTTCAAACACCAATACTACACACAAACGTACAGCTACATTCAAACGTCAACATTACATACAAACACATCACTGCAATTAAATGGTAACTACATCCAAATACACTCCTACATTCAAACACACATACACAATACAAAAACATGCTTACATTCAAACACACAACCACTGTTCACAAATACAACCCTGCAAGGATGGCCAAATAGTAGATCCCCAGTTGGCAAAGCATTGTGGGATTTGCATGACAGTTGAGGATTTACCTTTTGGCCTTGCTCTAAAAGGAGGTCCAAAAAATGTTTTGCACTAGGGCCCTCTCTTAGCCTTTCACCTGATGGACTAGGACCCTGTCTTAGCCTTTCACCTGATGTCAGACTACATCTGGAAGCGGAAGCCCCACAATTCCAGTGGACCTCTCCTTGCCCCCAAAGTGGACCATTGTGCCTGTTTTACCATAGACATGTCCTAAAAAGAAAGAATATTGTCAACTTAGCTGGTCTTTATATAAACATATATATTTTGTAATTGTAAAATTAAGCTGTTACAGTTATTACTGTTTTAATCATAGATTTATTAAGTCACAGGTTGTAGATTTGAATCACTATTATAACACAACATACTGAGTATGTAAAGTTTTGAAAACATTTCTTGAAAAGTGTCTAATTGATGTTTTATTGAAATACACAGATGGTTTGGACTTCTCACTTATTTTAGATAAAGTTCATTATGCCGAGCACTAAAAGTACAGGAATACATTTGACAAAGCATGCTGAAAGAAAATAAAACCTGATTTTATTCTTTCACTAGTTGCACATTTTTGCAGAAGCTACTTAGTGCACCTTAATGGCAGGCTAAGTTTTCCACTTCCCCTTGTACAGAAATTTCTAAAATAAATCAGTGACAGGCAATATGTTTGTGCAATTGTGCTGCAAGGGACATTTTATTAATTATAAGAACCTACATTTTGGTGACGCTCCAACCAAAGTCTCACTTGATTCTGGAGGATAAATAGCCCCTAGTGGCTGTCAGGATTAAATTTTCTTCTAACATGTAAACGTGTTTTTATACAGAATAGCATTGTTTTACATTGAGGGATAAAACTGACAGGGCCACTGCACTCGGGACTTCAAGATTAAGTGTTCTGGGTATCTTTGTAGGCTCTTTAGTATATATTTTGCCAGGGAGTAGGCTAGTAGTTATTCAATAATATATCAAGGTATTCAATATCACATATAATAATCTGTGGGAGGGTCTAGAGAGCTACAAATGGGGCCCTCCAATACCCTTCCCACCAGACTCAACAATAACAACAGCTGACAGTTCAAAGCTAAGCAAAATTACCTCAGAAAGTATGTTAGAACTAACTATTCACGTCAGATGGGGTCTATATACAGACATTGTTTTAAAAGATACCCAACAATATGTGAACTAATCACAGCAGATCCAATCTATTTTTTGTCACTAGTCCTTACCACATATATACATTTCTCATTGCAACAATAACTGGGGTGATACTGCCCCTCGTGTTACTATTTACTGCTTCCTTCCATTCTCTATCTCTGTCCTCACTCTATTACTTTTAATTTATTTCATACATTTAATGCTAGGCCCCCAATCAGGTCTACTTGGCTGTGTGGGATATGCCACTCTCCAATCCACCACCCCTTGGCATCACAACTTGTTGTTGACTTACCTGAAAATGTCATATTGATTTCTGAAAAAAGAAAGTTCTTAAAGGACCACTCTAGGCACCCAGACCACTTCAGCTTAATGAAGTGGTCTGGGTGCCAGGTCCAGCTAGGGTTAACCCATTTTTTCATAAACATAGCAGTTTCAGAGAAACTGCTATGTTTATGAATGGGTTAAGCCTTCCCCTATTTCCTCTAGTGGCTGTCTCATTGACAGCCACTAGAGGCGCTTGCGTGCTTCTCACTGTGATTTTCACAGTGAGAGCACGCAAGCGTCCATAGGAAAGCATTGTAAATGCTTTCCTATGCGACGGGCTGAATGCGCGCGCAGCTCTTGCCGCGCGTGCGCATTCAGTCCAGGAGGAGGAGAAGAGGAGGAGAGGAAGCAGAGAGCTCCCCGCCCAGCGCTGGAAAAAGGTAAGTTTTTAACCCTTTCCCCTTTCCAGAGCCGGGCGGGAGGGGGACCCTGAGGGTGGGGGCACCCTCAGGGCACTATAGTGCCAGGAAAACGAATATGTTTTCCTGGCACTATAGTGGTCCTTTAACAAATATCTGGGAATATGCACATCCTCATAATGGTCTACAATTTTACTATTTGCTGATCGTTTCCAAACTTTAAATTCCTGTCCTGGGTTAAGATCCCATTGACTTCGTAAGGAACACATTTCACTAATGAAAATCAACATAAAATTAAGTTGCTCTAGAAAATGTTGAGCGCCGTCTTCTCCGCATATATTTTTCTTTTTTGAATACCTAGAGTTGTAAACTCATTGCTTGTGGCATAATTTATGGGTTGCATTTAAATTGTATGGTTATAACAAATGACTATTTAAAATGTTTACTATAATTTTTTTGTCTATACATCTGATGTATACCATTTTTTGAATGAAGATTATAAATTGAAAAGAAATGATAGCTAACTTACAAATAATTGTATAAACAGTGCTCAAAAATGTTACTCAGAGGAATTTAAGAGTAAGCATTTCTACTACAGTCCCCAGAGGGTAGAAAACGAATTTCATAACCTGTACACGTGCATGAATATAAGCTCGTGTTTAGTATTAAAATCTCTCGTAGAAATCTTTACACATGTCTGAACAACTCTTCCTTCACCTAGCCATACACTTAATTCCACTGTTTTAGAAATATATGCTTACTAACAAACCAAACATTTGGAAAGTTTGTGATATTCTGATAGAGCCTCAGCGGATTGTACTGTTTGTTCCTTGGTATACCACATTGTCTTGTTATGGTTTGTCTCTCCACTGTCATTCTAAAGCCATAATTAGTCGCACAGCTAAAAAGAACACAGTTGGACATCTGAAGTTCCACGTTCCAGAAGAACCATTAACTATCATAAAGTGCTAAATCAGTGCAGGAATCTAACTAATCCACAGACAGTCTATTCCAAAGCATAAATTAGAATAGTAATTTCAGATGTCAACTTGGAGCTCAGCCTTTCAATTGTACAACTCACTCAGTAATGTTGAAGGTCCTTGATTAACCTTTCGTGACAAGGACAGTAAATGCTTGTGACCATATTTCACATGCCACGAATAACACTTAAGACAGGGTGCTGAGCCTTTCATTGTTGGCAAGTTGTGCTCTGCCCAAGTCCCATAAACAAGAGGAACATTTTGTTTTCTTACTAGTAATATCAGTGCTGAACTGCTCTCTCACGTACTAAGTGTTAAAGTCCAGAATATCCCAGTTCTATTTCTCTGTGATAATATTGATAGTAATTTATAGACGTAGATAGCGTTCAAACTTTTATTTCAGTAGAAGCCTCCCACTGAGCACTAACGGAAAGGTGATGTGAAAAAAATGGGAGAAAAATTATATATTTTTTACTAAAATCATGTGTAAAGTGTTGTTTTATTGGTAGTTTCATGATAATAGATTTCTTAGGGTGTAGATAAAGTAATCGTATTATGACAGATTTGTGGACAACATTGTTTAGAAATAAGAAAGTTATTTGGAAATAAAAAACTATGAATTGAAATATAATTTATGTATAAATGCTATTCTCTTGTGTAATATTTTCCACAGTGTTACAAAAAATAAGAACATAATGAATTAAAAACACATATATAATAAGAATAATATAATAGTAAGTACAAATACAAGATTATTCAAAGTATAAAGATAACTGGGTTAGCATCTTAAATGATAATATATAAACATTATAAAACATACTACAAGTAACTCTGTAGATGTATTTATTAAAATGGAATATGTGGATATAATTGATGGTGAATTTCTAAGGTTTAAATAGCTACAACAAAGCTATTTTTTCAGATTGGTCATTTTGACTTAGGATGTGCAATTCTCTTCTTGATTCTCACACAATTCCAGGTTTAGTGTGTGAACCACTCTACTATAACGTCATTAAATTATCTGAATGTCTGTAAAGATGTGCACAAGAACCAAAGTTTCTGGTTCAGGTAAAGTAGCTAAAATTTTCTCTGGAGAGATGTTCCTTGTCAAGGTAGTGAAGTACGAGCAGGTTTAATACATTCTAAATATAGAGGGCAGCCTGTGCTGCCTTCCACTAACTCACTACAAACAGTCTCTGGGAAGCCACTCAATCGTTTGTGGGCAACACTTTCAAAATCACTGAAAACATGCATGCATTTAATTATGCATGTTTGCATTGGGATTACATCTAAAAACAGCTGGAAAAAGCAGCATATCTATTGTCTGAAGCCTTTGCAAGCCCTCCCATTCTAGCCCCGCCCAGACTGCCTGTATCTGTCAAATCACAGACTTACGAATGCAGCTCAATAAGAAGTCTTTTTGAGGCAGGTACTCAGAGCTCTTGCTGCCTCTTACGTTTAACTCCATTGAGCTAAACAGACCAGAAAGTAACAGAACCAGTTGTGTGATTGACAGTTAGGAGGGTGTAGCAGGGTTAAATTATAATTGTGCCAAATTCTATTTTTTTCTGGGGTCTGGAATGTCCTTTTAACAAAAGCTTATTAAAAATAGTTAAATTTTTTGTGTCATTCCTGTGGGATATAAATGTTCATGCTACATTCATACATCATTTAGACCTGTCCAACCTTGGCCCTTCAAGCTGGAGGTTCAAGGTTGGACACCCATATTTACACCAAGAACATATATAAAAAGTATCAACAACCATCCCATAATTATTACCCTATCAGTCCTTTATATCCTTTCCTTAAAGCAGTCAATGCAGTGCCTTATTTTTTCCACTTGTAGAAGGCTTAAATATCCTCACTTGAGCCAAGATTTGATGCATGTGATGCAATTCAGTTCACTATCATTTACAGAGAATGCCAATATTGGAGCACTGTTTTCTGTAGTTTATAGTCTGCTGTTACAAGCAATATATCCACCCAACTATCTATACAGAGTGAATCATAAATTCAGTACTAATAATAAACGGTTATAATGTTATAATTTAAACATTTTTACTCTTTATTATTTTTAAATACTTTTTCCTGTTTTCATAATGTCAGGACAAATTTGCATCAATTTAAGCAATACAATTACCATATATATGAATGTCCAAATTGCCATACGCATTGGTATGCAACTATGACAGTGTTTCACATTTAGACTAAACTAGCAGAACTAGAAAAATTCTCCAAATCAGCGATGTTTTCAGCTCATTCATTTAGGGTAAACATTTTACATTTCCTTGGAATTCAAAATATTTTATATTCTAGCCAATAACCCTGCAAGGGGTTGTCCTCTCTACTAAGGGTAATTTGACTATTTGTTAAAGGCAGACTCAGTCAAGGATGGGGGGGAAGGGGGTGATTGTGTGAACCCTATCAATGTTCCCTTTTTCTCCTTGCTTAATAGCTCTGTGCAATGATATATTGTCTCCCTTCTGATTATAGACATAGGCTTGAGCAAGCGGGGTTACCAGAGCAGCCAGATAGTTACGGGACTGGAGGATATATGTCATGACTAAAAGAGGAAGAAAGATTTCTTGGTGGCTTTGTTCGCTGTACAGATCTTTTCTAAAGGTGATATTTATGATGCTGTTCGTGAAAAGTACATTCTCGTTTTTTTCTTTATAATCTGACAGCGTTATGTACTAAAGTGAGAATTCAAAGTGGATTTTACATTTAATGTCAAAAGAGCTGCACTGGAAAAATACTCTGTAAACTTGAAATTCACTTAGATTTTTCACTTTAGTAAATAATCCTGTGTGTTTTTTTTTTTTTTTAAACTAGCAGCATACAGATAAGCCATTTAATGTAGCTCTCTATCCCCTTAAGGACACATGAGATGTGTGACATGTCATGATTCCCTTTTATTCCAGAGGTTTGGTCCTTAAGGGGTTAAGTAGTCACTTCTTGTTGAACATTCTCCAATTAACATTTCCAGCTGACTCTGCCCAAAATCTTTTTTTATCAAACATGGAGTAGTTAAGGTGATTGTTATGCTTTTCAAGAATGATCTCCCTCACATCTCTCTGTTTGTATCTGAGAATACTAATGCTTTGTTGCAATTTCCTTTCTCATATATCTTAAAACATTGTTTTCCCCTTGTCTTCTGTCCCATTGATTGATTACACATGTCAAAGTTCTGTCTAAACTATATTGAGGACTTTGAAGGAATAGTGTTATGTTAGGAATACCGATCTGTATTCTTAACACTACCAATTACCCCCCATTGTGTAAAATAAATAAAAATGAATGAGTTAAAAAGAAAACAAATTATTCACCTTTTCTCCAGCGCTGAGTCTCTCTTGGTGCAGCAGTGACATCCTCCACGGTTTGCATTATCCAAAGCTCCTAATAGTGGTGCATTGACATCTGCGCATGCACGCGTCACGTCACAGTAGTTACAGTATGAGTGTCAGAAAGTAAGATTAAAAAAATTACGTTGTTAAAGTGCCTACAGTGTCCCTTTAAATTAGATGTGAAAGGTTAGAAAGTGAAAGCTCACACATTAGGGGTTATTCACAAAAATGTAAACGGTCTACAATTCACAGGTTACTATTGAAACTGCAATTCACAGTGAATTTAACATTTTAGAGCCATTAGATACAATGGAAATTTTCTTAGAGTCAGCTATGTTTTCAGCTTGGCTATACAGGTGGTCGTCATTTAGCGAACTACCTGTTTTACGACGGCTTGCACTTACGACCAGGCATAAGTGCGAGCCATCGTGGGGATTCCCTGCTATGTTGCGCATGTCTATGTTTGGGAAACTTCCTTGAACATAGACGATCGCACAAGAACAGGTAATCCCTTAACTCCTCACTTACCGACCAAGCCGTTCTATGACCGGTTCATGGAAAGGAAGTCGTTAGGTAAGTAAGGAGTGTGTGTTTTGGTTACAAATTTGTAATTCATTTGCATTCCTGACACTTCACACTTTAGTGAACAACCTCATTTGAATTAAAACATAGAATGAAATAAACGCCTCTTCTCTTCAACTCGTTATTTCTCTTCTTGGTCTGTTTGTGCTAGAAATGCTAGAACAATACAACCCAGTCTAATACCATTAATTAAAGCTCTAATCATTATACCTATCAAATAGATTTTAAGATATTTGACCCACCTGTGGAAGAACAAGAGGATGGACAGCATGGTCTGGTCTATGTTGCTGTTGCAGATGCCTTCATTTAGGAGGTAGCAGGGGTCCTTCACAACAGGTTCCATAGAGTCCTGTCTCATGATGGTGTTTAACTTATCTGCATTTAGATTCTCAAAGACTAGCTTCTCTCGCAGCTGACGGAAATTGCTGACAATTATGTTGTTATTCTCTCCATTGCTTTCTTCCACCTCACTTTTGTTGGCCAGGTCAAGACAGCAGCTACAACAGTCCAGGCCAACCGGAGATCGGCAGCCGTCTTCTTCTGACATGCTCATTTAAGTTATTCAGCACCTTAAAAGATTCACTAGGACTCCTAGTACAGTGCGGTGTCGATAACCCACTTTCTTTGCAATCTGACTTCTAAAACAGATTTTAAAAAAAAAAATGATATCTATAGAAACTTGTGTTCTCTGAATTTTTCTGCAAAGTTGTACTGCTTAGAGAGGGAAGAAAAAAGACTCCAGCACTTGTTATATGTTGTGCTGTTCTATGTGCACACCTCTCTGCTGAAACCGGGGAGAGATTCTGCCTCTATAGCTAGCACATCCCAGTTGCGAGGTTGAACTTCAGTCCCTCCTACTCTCCCAGAGGCTGTGCTACTGTGACATGACTTTATGTAACAGAGCATAAATGAGTGCAGGAGGGGACACGACAGCAGGAATAAAAGTGTGTAGTAATGCACTGGCACAAAAAAAAGAGATGAACACGTTATGATCTTTGGTAGTCAGGCTTACTGCGTGCAGTAAAAAGTTTTGTTTCAGAAGGAAACCCCTCCCAGGACGGAATGTGCTGCTGACTTCTGTCAGTCTGTAAACAACAGTTTTAGCTAACAAGAGAAGCAGACAATGTTTTGCTTTCTGCAAAGCTTTACATCAACAATATTAAGGTAATTACAGTAAAGTTTTATATTGCTCCAATAAGCTAATCAGGGGGAGAACATGAGAAAGCACAAAGACATTTCAATTGGGGAGAGATTTGTATAACTAACAAATTATAAAAGGTCATTATCTTACTACCAGACTGCATTTACAATTAAATAATACTGGAATAGCTTTGCACGGTGTGACTGTAGCAAACACTTAAAGGACCACTATAGGCACTCAGACCACTTCAGCTCAATGAAGTGGTCTGGGTACCATGTCCATCTAATTTTAACCCTGCAGCTGAAAACATAGCAGTTTCTAAGAAACTGCTATGTTTACACTCGGGTTAATCCAGCCTCTAGTGGCTGTCTCAGTGACAGCCGCTAGAGGCGCTTCCGCGCTTCTCACTGTGAAAATCACAGTGAGAAGACGCTGGACGTCCACAGGAAAGACCCTCCCTGGACTGACAAGGAAGGGGGGACATGACTGATGCTAGGCTAAGGAGTCTTGACTGATGCTAAGCAGAGGGGTGGGGTGTACACAGATACAAAGTGGCAAAATGGAAGGACGGTTATAAGGACAGTGAGGAGAGGGGACTTACCAGTCAGCGTTAGAAAGTGCAGGTATCGTTATTGGCGAAATCGGATATTGAGTCCGCCTTTCGATTGTTGCCGGTTCATCCAGATTGTTTCCACTTACTAGGGTGTTTTGCTCACGGGTTGTACTATTATGACATGTGCATGCCCAGGGGCTGCGCTATTTCTTGTTATTATTTCAAACTGTTTTCCTCCTTTTTGGAGTGGGTTTATGGCGCAAGGTCTGGGATCCTTGACTCATTATTTGGACAATTTTTTTGTTCGTTGGCCCAGCGGGTTCTCAGGATTGCTTTTCTTTGCTCCAGGCCTTCCGACACGTGGTGTTAGACTTCGGGGTTCTGGTTTCGGAGCAGAAAACAGTCGGGCCAGTGTTGGTTCTGTCATTTCTGGGTATCGAGATTGATACTGAGAGTATGTTTTTTTGGCTCCCAGAGGACAAGTTGGCGGTGTTGCTTCGTCTGGTTGACTTAGTCAAGGGTTCCAAAAAGGTTCAGTTGCGCCAAATGCAGGGCCTACTGGGCCACTTTGTTTTCGCATGCAGAGTATAGGGCATTCTGTCGCAGGTTGTCGTAGTCAACGGTGGCGGTAAGGAAACCCTTCCACTGCATCCGGATCATGCTGCGCCTTCAGGCAGATCTGGTGGTGTGGAGCTCTTTCCTACGCCATTACAACGGACACTCTTGCTGGTTGAGGGAGGCCACCCCCAACTCAGCGTTAGATCTTTTTATGGGTGCCTCGGGGTCCGTAGGTTTCGGTGCATATTTTCAGGGCCAGTGGACGATTGGCGGACCTCCCCGGCTCGCGCGGAACCTGACCTTTCTGGAGCTGTTCCCTATAGTGGTCGCACTGGAACTGTGGGGTGAGGACCTCAGAAATCAGGCGGTGGTCTTTCACACGGACAACATGAGTGTTGTCCATGTGATTGCTTGGTCGTCCGCCTCCTCTCCTCTGGTTTTGGCGCTGCTGCGGCGGCTCGTACTACTCAGTCTGCAGTTTAATGTTTGGGTGCATGCGCGTCATGTCCCGGGTGTGGAAAATGTGGTGGCTGACGCCTTGTCTCTATTGCAGTGGGAGCGGTTTCTCGAGACAGCGCCAGAGGCTTGGCGGATCGGTCTGACTTGTCCAGACTCCTTACGAAAGCTCGATTTCGAGGCCTAATGGGCTTGGTGAAGGATTCCTTGGCAGAGTCTTCCTGGAGGGCATACCAGACGTTGTGGGGACAATGGCTGTCAACATCCCGGGACAGGGGTATATCATCTGAACCCGAGTGTCTCGAAGCGACTTTGTTGATGTTGGACGATATGCTCAAGCGAGGTAGGTCTTGCGCAGTGGCAGAGAAGGCACTGGCTCCTCTGTCTTTTCTGTTTCTTTCCATGGGTTGGCGCGATATAACCAAAGAATTTGGGATACAGAGTGTTATAAAGGGGTGGCGTCTTCGTCGGCGCCCGGATCGACGTCCCCGATTTCGGTGGATATGTTGCGCCGGATTCTCGTAGTCTTGCCGATGGTCTGTAGTTCAGAGTTTGAGTCTCACCTGTTTCGCTTGGCCTTCTCGTTTTGTTTCTTTGGAGCTTTCCGCATCGGCGAGCTGGTCGCTCCAAAAAGGAGGACGGCCTCGCCGTTGGCGCTGTCTGACGTTCGGTGGTCTAATTCTTCCATCAACATTTTTGTGCGGCGGTCTAAGACGGATCGTGAGGCCCGCTGCACATGGGTTCGTTTAGGGGCCACCGGGGATGAAGTCTATCCGGTTGGGGCTTTTCTCGGGTTTATAAGTATGTGGTCGGAACAGGGGGGCCCAGTGCTAGTTCACTTCAATGGGTCACCTCTCGCGCGGTACCAGTTCTCTGTGATGCTACGGCGGCCGGCGGGATCGATGTACAAGGGTTTTCAGCCCATTCCTTTCGTATTGGGGCAGCCACTCAGGCGAGTTTATTGGGCTACTCCGCAGCGGGCATTAGGCGCACTGGTAGGTGGGAGTCGGGGCGCTTTAAGTCTTATGTCCATCCTCATATGTTGTAATCCTCTTCTCGTTGTAGGTGCTCTTCCCTGATATGTGTGGATTATAGGGCATTCTTACGTATACTGGGCTGCTCGGCGAGCAGAAGACCGGTCCTACGGACGGAATTTGGGGTACTCATTTGAATTAGCTTGGGTCCAATGGAAGGGCATTAGGGGTCTTCTCTGGCATCAAGTATACCCAGAATTTGTGGCGCTGCGTAAGTTTGTCTCAGGGCCAGGGTGGTGGTGGTTCATGCGGGTGGGAATGACTTAGGGAAAGCCAGGACAGTGGACCTTCTCCACGCGATTCGGCACGACCTGGCGAGGTGCATGGCTCTTTTTCCGGACATGACCTTGGTTTGGTCAGAGGTGGTCTTCAGGCCGCGCTGGCACGTGCTACCGTACTCACGCGGATTGGAGAAGAGCTGGTGCTAGCTTAATATTGGGGAAGTTCGTACGTGGTTTAGGTGGGGTAGTTGTCCGGCATGTGGAGCTCGAGGGCGATAACCTGAATCTGATGAGGAAGGACGGGGTACACTTAAATTCCATCACTTTGGATATTTTTAATGTGGGTTTACAGAGTGGGACCGAGGCTGCGCTGTCTGCGGTGGGCACGATGAGGACAAGGGGCTCGGATGAATGTCGTCATCGTGATGGCGGGAGTCCTGGCCAGCGCAGGCAGAAGTGAAGAAGTTGCCGAGGAGGCTTGGGGAGTCACAGCCTGCTGGGAGCTGGTGGCGGAGGCAGGCTGCTCTGGACTTATGGTTTGATTGGATAGACCTGTCTGTTGGTGAATCAACCCAACAGCTGACAGTATGGACTTGCTGGCATGTATAATCAATAAAGCTGTGGCCGTTGCCCTTACCCAACTTAACGAGGTCTCTTGTGTGTCATTGGTGGCAACAGGTTTGGGGACATTCCATCTAGTCAGCAGTCAAGCATTGAGAAATGCTTATCTATGGACTGATTGAATGCGCGCGCGGCTCTTGCCTCTCATGCGCGTTCGGTGGACGACGTCGGAAGAGGGAGGAGAGTTCCCCAGCACTGAGGGAGCCCGGCACTGGAGAAAGGTAAGAGTTTAACCCCTTCCTCCCCCTTCAGCCCGGCGAGAGTGGAACCCTGAGGTTGGGGGGTCCCAAAGACCGTATAGTGGTCCTTTAACACACGATATGCACTGTAGTTGATATGCTTGAGAGCAGGAGAACCACCTATGATGGTTTTTCTGCTTTCCTCATCACTCATTTGTTGGCCCACAGAGCTGTGCCTTCAGCAGCATAGCCCTCTACGCCAAGAATTGGAGAAGAGCTGGCGCAAGCTTAATATTGGGGAAGTTCGTACGTGGTTTAGGTGGGGTAGTTGTCCGGCATGTGGAGGTAAGGGGACGGACCATTATTTTTCTTGAAATCCATGCATTTGCAGGCAATTCTGCAAGAACAATGTATAGATGTATATTATGTCGTTTGATTATTAAGATGTGTGTATCACAACAAGTTCACTTTAAGATCCACATAGATAATCAAAAATGTTTTTTTTTTTTTTTGTATAACATTTTCTCTCAGCAATCAGACATCCTCTGCAAACCTAATTTGCCTTCCATTGCTGGTCTTCAATAAATATCTAGGAATTTATGAAACCTTACCTTGGACTCCATATTTTCTGCAAATTACATCTGACACATAACACTGAACACTGATGGTGAACCTAAGAAAATTGGCTTACAAGTACATTCTTTGGATGGATAGAATTAACATTATTATTATTACATTTATTTATAAAGAACCAACATTTTCTGCAGCACTGTACTTTAACAAAATATAGAAATTATCCTTGCAAAATATTTTGGAAAAAAAGTTGTGCTTGTTACAGACCATCGATGCTATCAGGGGCGATGCTAGGAAGGGCTGATGACCCACTTGAGCCCCTGAAAAGCCCTGGTCTAATTCTGGCTCCATTTTTTTTAACTCTCTATCTCCTGTAATACTGAGTGAAAAATAGCACACCTAATTACATATTAGAGTCACTCTAATGCACCATATTTAGAGTTTATTATATAACACAGCATGAGGGTATTGCTGTGGGTGCAGGGTTTATATGCAATGAAGGGAAGGGTTAATACAACAAAGCATTTATAAATGTAAATCTATGTAATATTCTGAATTCATTGAAAGATTTGGTGTCATAATGTGATTTATATAATTTATTTGGGTTTAGGGTTCGACTTAAGGCATGATATAGAGCTAGTGTAGTATGAGCTTAATTCAATATATATGGGGGAGACAGTAAAAGTCCACCTAGAATTACCCTGCTCATTTTGGTGCTACAATTGTGGTTCACATCCTTGATTTTTGGACTGACCCCTCAAAATTCTCATTTCCATTCTGACTGCAAGCAAAAAGTACTGCTTCCCTTAAAGGGATTCTCCAGTGCCAGGAAAACATATTAGTTTTCCTGGCACTGCAGGACCCTTCAGTGCCCCTCTCCCTCCCACCCCCTATCCCAAGTTGCTGAAAGGGTGAAAACCCCTTAAGTGACTTAGAGGAGTCCAGCACCGATGTCCCTCGGCGCTAGTCTGGCTCCGCCTACCCTCCGCCTACTCTCCTCCCCCGCGCATTAGACCTCCCCATAGAAAAGGACGTGAGGACGTCCAACGTTTCTTAAAACACTTTTCGTGTCCTATGAACATGGAAGTTCCTGTAGTGGCTGTCTGATAGACAGCCACTAGAGGAGGACTTAACCCTGCAGGGTAATTATTGCAGTTTATGAAAACTGCAATAATTACACTTGCAGGGTTAAGGGTAGTGGGAGTTGTCACTCAGACCACTCCAAAGGGCAGAAGTGGTCTGGGTGCCTGGAGTATCCCTTTAAGTGGTATAGACAGTGCTTTCTCTATCCTTTTGATAGACTGGTCACCGGTACTCGTTTAAAAATGACAATTTTTCATGATTTCTCTAGAAGACCAATGGCCAGCACACTAGATATGGTTCTGTTGACCTTTTACTATGCTACAGAATCTCTGACAGTATCCTTTTGAAGTCCTTCTCTATTTCTGTTGTTTTACAAATCTTGTGTGCAATATCTGAATATTTAACCTACAGAATTTACATGTATCTGAAATCGAAATATTTGCTTTCCAGATTGTACAGGGCATCTCTGACATAACATTACAGATTCCTCTCTGTAGCTGATATATGCTATAAGGCATATTTATCCATATCTGAATTTTCTGATTTAAAGCCCTTTTTGGGTATATTATATCTACAAAACCTATTTAACTTTATGGGGGGCAGCTCCATTGCTACATCTCTAAACCTAATGAAATGTAATACTCTGTGTTGTTCTACCACAATCTGATTAATCATATGGCACCCAGGTGCTAGACAAGTACCTAGGTGTCATGAAGACCGTTGGCCGAGTTTGGCCACATTCTTTAAACCCTATATGAAGAGTTGAGAGGGGGTCCCAAAATGTTAACCTGCATAAGTCCCTTATAGTGAAATATTAATGCTTCTTTGGGTCCAACTTTCTTTTCCCTATATATATTCATAGTTATCTT